GGATTTGAAAGTGTTTTCTACTTTTAATGAGGAGCTTTTCAAGGAAATCACTCAGCTCCTGACCTTAGAAAACTTCCGGTAAGCCTCTTGTATAGGGTGGTTTTAACCAATAGAGAATGGGGAGTGAGTTTTAAGCTGTTGAACTTCAGGGAGAACGAGCAGTTATCAAAGTATGGAGACACAAAGTCAGCGAGATCAATCATGTTGGTGGAACTTAAGAAGTTGATTGAAGCCAATCCTTTGTTCCGTGATAAACTGCAGTTTCCTACCCTTAGAAATTCACGGCTGAGGACTCTGATTAACCAGAGGTATTGATTGACCTTCCTTTCTTGTTTCACTTTCAAGTTTTTTCATTCCTCAACTCTTAGTTTACATGTGACTGCATGATTTGCAGCTTGAATTGGCAACACCAGCTTTGTAAGAACCCAAGGCCAAATCCTGATATAAAGACTCTCTTTGTGGACCACTCCTGTCGCCTACCAAATGATGCACGAGCACCATCCCCTGTCAACAATCCGCTGCTTGGATCATTACCAAAAGCCGGTGGATTTCCTCCTTTAGGCGCACACGGGGTAAGTTTCTGCTGATTTTTGGTCCTAGTTACATGATCTTCACATGGCGTGCCTTGACTTGCCTTTTATGTCTCCAGCCATTTCAACCAACACCTTCTTCGGTTCCAGCACCTCTTGCTGGTTGGATGTCTAGCCCTTCCTCTGTCCCTCATCCTGCTGTGTCCGGAGGAGCCATTGCTCTCGGTGCTCCATCCATCCAAGGTCATTTGCTTTCTCACAGAAACTGTGTGAAACTATTGTCTTCCAAATTCTGTCCTTGCCTTTATCAGAACTTTAAGTTTCTCCTGTTATGGACTTAGCAGCCTTGAAGCACCCGAGAACTCCTCCAAGCAATTCCGCTCTAGACTATCCATCAGGTGATTCAGACCATGTCTCTAAACGAACAAGACCTATGGGAATCTCTGACGAGGTGACAAAAAATCTAAAGCAAAAGTATACATTTTACTCTATTGGTGATGCACTTAGTTTAAACGCATTTCTTCGTTGCTATTTGCTCTCCTTCATGTATAGGTGAGTCTAGGTGTGAACATGTTACCAATGACATTCCCGGGGCAAGGCCATGGTCATAATCAAACCTTCAAAGCACCTGATGATTTGCCTAAGACAGTGGCACGCACTTTGAGCCAAGGCTCATCTCCCATGAGCATGGATTTCCATCCAATCAAACAGACCCTGCTACTAGGTTTGTTTCTTGCTCTGTACATCTACTTCATGTACTAAACATCATCAAGAAAATTTGTAACATTTTGGGTTGTTCCAGTTGGAACAAACGTAGGGGATATTGGGCTCTGGGAAGTCGGTTCTCGAGAACGTCTTGTACAGAAGACTTTCAAAGTATGGGACTTGAGTAAATGCTCAATGACCTTGCAGGTGCCTTTCTTTCTGAAAACCAACCATAATCTTTATATTCTAGTATTTATTTGAAACTTGAGTGACCAATATGTTGTTGGTCTTAAGGCTGCTTTGGTGAAAGAACCTGTCGTTTCTGTCAACCGTGTGATTTGGAGCCCGGATGGTTCCTTATTCGGTAAGACTTGAGATTATAAATGCTCTCTGTCAACTGATTCGGGTATTCATTATGCGCGTTTCCAACTGCAGGAGTTGCTTATTCGAGACATATTGTACAGCTATACTCTTACCACGGTGGGGAAGACATGAGGCAACACCTTGAGATTGATGCTCACGTTGGTGGTGTAAATGACATTGCATTCTCCACTCCGAACAAACAACTATGTGTTACTACTTGTGGTGATGATAAAACCATCAAGGTCTGGGATGCTGCAACGGGTGTCAAAAGACATACTTTTGAAGGCCATGAAGCTCCTGTTTACTCTATCTGCCCTCACTACAAGGAAAACATTCAGGTACGTAGCACTAGTTAAACGGTTTCGTTTTTCAGTTTTGTTTTTGTTCTTGACTTGATTATTTCTTCTTGTGCTCTCAAGTTCATCTTTTCGACTGCGCTTGACGGGAAAATAAAAGCGTGGTTATATGACAATATGGGTTCTCGGGTTGACTACGAAGCTCCTGGTCGCTGGTGTACAACGATGGCCTATAGTGCTGATGGAGCTAGGTTATATAGCATGATTCTCATCATCTCTATGTCTTGGTTCTGTTCTGTGTCGTCATGATAATAATGAATTTTTCTTCTTATAGGCTATTCTCTTGTGGGACGAGTAAAGATGGGGATTCATACATAGTTGAGTGGAATGAAAGCGAAGGAGCTGTGAAGAGAACATATCAAGGATTCCACAAGCGTTCTCTTGGTGTTGTTCAGTTCGATACTACTAAAAACCGCTATCTTGCTGCGGGTGATGACTTCTCCATAAAGTTCTGGGATATGGACAGTACACAGCTTCTGACTGCCATTGATGCTGATGGAGGTCTCCAGGTATGTAACCAAACATCTCTCTTCTTCCTGGAAGCTGAATATTGATCCATTTGCAATCAATATAAAGAAGGCTCTATAATTTTTCTAGGCAAGCCCACGGATCCGGTTTAACAAAGAAGGCTCTCTCTTGGCTGTTTCTGCAAATGACAATATGATTAAGGTTATGGCAAATGCAGATGGTCTAAGGCTATTTCACACGGTCGATAACTTATCTTCTGAATCCTCCAAGGTACTGAGTTTTTTTCACTCATTGGAGCTTCAACAAGCAAATCACTTACTAACCAATTTGTCATTCACAATTTGCAGCCTGCAATTAACAACATTGCGGTGACAGAGAGACCTTCTGAGAGACCTGCTTCTGTAGTTTCCATCCCCGGAATGGTAGGAAGATCAAATGTTTTTTGTTCCTATGTTTTTGGTCTGTGTCTAATCAATCATATGGTTCCTCGCTTTGCTTTCTAACAGAATGGAGATTCACGGAATATGGTGGATGTGAAGCCAGTGATCACTGAAGAATCAAATGATAAGTCTAAGATATGGAAGCTTACTGAAGTTGGTGAACCTTCTCAATGCCGCTCGTTGAGACTCCCTGAGAATATGAGAGTCACCAAGGTACCACCACCAACACTGAGACTCACATAGCTCTACTTATACTGTTATACATGGCTTTGATTTCTAATGACTCAAAAACGTTTTGCACAGATATCAAGATTGATTTTCACAAACTCTGGAAATGCTATTCTGGCATTGGCATCAAATGCTATTCATCTGCTATGGAAATGGCAGCGAAACGACCGTAACGCTACTGGAAAGGTACATTGCGGTCTAAAATTTGCCTTTAACATCTCAGAAAGATGTGAAATAATGAAAAGTTTGCCTTTATTTTGTATATAGGCAACGGCTTCTTTACCTCCTCAGCAATGGCAACCAGCGAGTGGGATCTTAATGACAAACGATGCTGCTGAAAATAATCCAGAGGAAGCTGTGCCGTGTTTTGCTTTATCCAAGAATGATTCATACGTCATGTCAGCATCAGGAGGAAAGATCTCTTTGTTTAATATGATGACGTTTAAGGTAAAATCCCAATAATTATACAATTCAAACATCTCTTTCATGTGTTACATAAGGATTTATGTTTGTTGGGCTAAGTGCAGACGATGGCTACTTTCATGCCGCCTCCACCTGCTGCAACGTTTCTTGCATTCCACCCTCAAGACAACAACATAATCGCAATTGGAATGGATGACAGTACAATACAGATTTACAATGTTCGCGTTGACGAGGTTAAGAGCAAGCTTAAAGGACATTCTAAGAGAATAACCGGCCTCGCCTTCTCCAACGTACTAAACGTTCTGGTTTCGTCTGGAGCAGACGCTCAGGTACTACTAGTGCTGATTCATTTCATGTCATATCTAATCATGAAGAATCGTTATAAGTCTTGTTCCTTCGACTTTTTGTGCAGCTTTGCGTGTGGAACACGGATGGATGGGAGAAGCAGAAAAGCAAGCTTCTTCCAATCATACAGGGAAGATCGACATCGACGGGTGCACTTTCAGACACGCGTGTTCAGTTTCATCAGGATCAACTACACTTCCTCGTGGTCCATGAAACTCAGCTCGCTATATACGAAACCACCAAGCTTGAATGCATGAAACAGGTTTTAGCAACTCTCCCTAGTCTCTCCCTATTTATGATTTCGAGACTTGCATCTGATTCTTTTTTATTTATAAAAAATATATCAGTGGCCAGTGAGGGAATCATCAGCTCCAGTCACACATGCGACATTCTCATGTGATAGTCAATTGATATACGCAAGTTTCATGGATGCTACAATCTGTGTGTTCAGCTCTGCAAACCTTCGATTGCGCTGCAGAGTCAGTCCCTCTGCGTATTTGCCAGCTTCTCTCAGGTGAGTTAGATAAATAAAGAGCAATCTTAGTATATGGTTAAGGAAGGAAAACAGAGTAAATCTTGAATCCCCCATTTGGTGTGTGTGTGTGTGTGCAGCAACTCGAATGTGCATCCATTGGTGATTGCGGCTCATCCGCAAGAATCCAATATGTTTGCTGTGGGTCTTTCAGACGGTGGGGTCCATATATTCGAGCCGCTTGAGTCAGAAGGTAAATGGGGAGTGGCTCCACCGCCTGAGAATGGCTCAGCCACCGCTGTCGCCTCCACACCTTCTGCCTCCGATCAGCCTCAGAGATGATTTGAAACCCCACCTCCTCTCTGTTTTTGGTTTTTCCTTTTCTTTTGGAACAAGGCATCTCCTAACAAAGTTATTAGGTGAATGTAACATATATATCTCTAGCAACTCCTAATTGGTTGATTCGTTGTTGATTGCTTTCTGTCTTTTTTTTTTTTTGTCATTCCTCGTCAATGTTACAAGAGAAATAATTATCTTTTTCAACAAAAAAGAGAGAAATTATATCAATCATCGAAATAGTGTGCAAATTCTATGAGGAAAAGGAAAAATCCAAATTGGAAACACGACCGACTATTCCCATATTATATCAGACGAAATCGTCCCATATTACATGGGAGCTATCGAGTTCCTGGGAGCACAGGAAAAGATCAATGTCCTGGTAGCACAGGAGGATGCACGTCCACCACGCGAGCTGACCCGTATTACAAGTGAGGTGTGGCTTTGGAGAAGCCTATCCACCACTGGAGGGAAGCCAGTCTACAGCATCGACAACATGTGGACTAGGATAGGGTCTGGATGCCCACACCCAACTGACTCCTGTGAGAATACCTGGCTTCCTAACCCGGACAACTGGTTTACCTACAGCGATTGGAATCCGGACAACCTTCCTAATTGGGATCCCAACGGCCTTAGACCTGGTAGCAGCGGACCCGCACTAGAAGACGAGGTTCCGTCTTCGGTCTTCCCCAACGCCTGCCAACAAGATCGACTATTGATTGATTTAAGTGTTGTAACGGATTAGACAATACTCTCTAATCTCTATGTTCCTTTTTAATGAATTTTTTAGCATTCTTTTGGTGTTCTTCATAAATATTTAAAACACTTTTTGTTGATTGAAACAAAAAAAATTCAAGATTTCAGTGTCAACACTCAACAGTTATGTTTTTTTAATTATCCGAGTCCAATAATTATTTTTTGAATTATATAACCATCGAATCATTTTATTTATCCGAGTCTGCCCTAAGGCTGCTCGGCCCACGGCCCATACACACTGTTATTTTTTTACTCTCCAATCGCCATTGACAGACATCTCTACACCTCTCATACCAGCGGCGAAGCTTGTACCCCTGTTTACTAACATGGCGAAACTAGAGGTTGCCACGACCTTCCTCGCTTTCACCGCTCCTCGTGCCTTGAACTATCGCTTCTCTTCTGCCGCCGTCTCGTTTTTCTCCAGGCGCAGAGCTACGACCGTTTCCGTCGGAGCGGCGACTCCGTCGTTATTCTATTCCCCGGTGGTTAATTCTAGTCGCCTTCGAAGATTCTCCTCTGTTTCGGCCTCAGCTTCCGCGCCGGCGCCACCGCAAACCGAAGATTCCGATGTTACCTCTAAGATTCCGCAAGACAATCGAATCCCAGCTACTATAATCACGGGGTTTCTGGGCTCTGGCAAGGTAAGTGTTTGTCATTTCATATTATTTGATAGCCAGTCTTTCGTTTGGTTTTGCTGATTATGCTGAATTTTACAGACGACATTGCTGAATCATATACTGACCAGAGATCATGGGAAGCGCATAGCTGTGATCGAGAATGAGGTGCGTCGATCCTCTAAATTCGTTGAAAGTGTTTGATTTTTAAGGCTGTGGTTTCTAATTCATGCTAAATTTGAAATTCTCAGTTTGGTGAAGTTGACATTGACGGGTCACTTGTTGCTTCTAAATCTGTGGGAGCAGAGGATATAGTGATGCTCAACAATGGCTGCCTCTGCTGCACAGTTAGAGGCGATCTTGTGAGGATGATTTCAGAGTTAGTCAATAAGAAGAAAGGAAAGTTCGACCATATAGTGATAGAGACTACAGGTTGGGAACATTTAGTAGCACTAAGCTCTATAGCTACTCCTTCTTGATTTTCTTAAAGAATCTGGGGAGTGAGTGAGTAATGAATATCTTGTGTATGAATTTCTTTTTCAGGATTGGCAAATCCGGCCCCGATTATCCAAACCTTTTATGCGGAGGAGGAAATTTTCAATGACGTCAAACTGGACGGTGTTGTTACTCTAGTTGATGCTAAGCATGCTCGTTTGCATCTAGATGAGGTCAAACCAAAAGGTGTTGTCAATGAGGCTATTGAACAAATAGCTTATGCAGATCGTATCATAGTTAATAAGGTAACTAAAGTTTTAACCATATCTGTTTTCAAGATAATGTGATAGTTTTTTAGTTATCTTTAGAGGTTCAAATGTATCACCATCGTGTATTATAGAGATATATGATGTCTGGAATGTATTGTTATTCCTTGGCATACTCTGCTCTTGTTCTGAAAAGTGATTATACTTTGTCGCAGACTGATCTTGTTGGTGAGCCAGAATTGAGTTTGGTGGTGCAACGCATAAAGGTTGATCCTTCTTCTTCTTCTTCATATTTCTTCTTATTAGATGATTCTATGTTACTTGTGCCCATGTCTCTTCCATGTTAACGTATTTGCTATGGTTGTCTGCAGACAATAAACAGCATGGCTCAGATGACACGGACAAAGTATGGAAACGTTGACTTGGATTATGTTCTTGGCATTGGAGGTTTTGATCTAGAGAGGTCTGCTTCTTCTTTTTACCTATAATAGTATTTCATTTGGTGTCTCGTAGCTTTGTGCATTTATTAAGGTGTTTTTTTGTTTTGTTTGTCACGTAAATCATGCTTTATCAGAATCGAAAGCTCTGTGAATGAAGATGATAAAGAAGATCACGACGATCATCACCATGATCACGAGCATGATCATGACCACCATCACCACGATGAACATGGTAAGTTTCTCAATGCTTCTACCTTAAATACGGCATGAGAGAAAGAAAAAATGCTTTCATTAATGTAGTCTCCGATTCTGAAACTGCAGAGCATCATCATCATTCTCATGATCACACCCATGATCCCGGTGTTACTTCAGTCAGTATAGTCTGTGAAGGAAGCTTAGACCTTGAGAAGGTAATAAATAATATATATGCAGCTGAGAGGCACATAAAGGTCAAATTTTTTATTGATGAATTAACCTCAAATTGCGTCACAATCTATCAGGCAAACATGTGGCTCGGGACGTTGCTGATGGAACGCAGTGAGGATATCTACAGAATGAAAGGTCTTCTCTCGGTGCACACCATGGACGAGAGATTCGTGTTTCAAGGAGTCCATGACATCTTTCAAGGCTCGCCAGAGCGGTTATGGGGAGCAGACGAGGCTAGAGTCAACAAGATCGTCTTCATTGGCAAGAATCTGAACCGGGAGGAGTTAGAGAAGGGTTTTGAAGCTTGCTTGATTTGATTCTTGGAATCTTTTATGTCAATGTATACTCAGATTTTGTATCTTGTTGTCCTAAAAGTAGAAAACCGGATTCGGTGTTGAGAAATGTGAACTCGTTTAAACTTTGATGATGCCTCTAGTGTGTGTGTGAGAAAAGAAAAACCAACCGAATAGACATGAATAATAGGCCCATTATAGGCCCATGTTTGTATAGATCGATTACCGCCGTCAAACCGGATTACCGACTTAAATAAATCTGGGTCGGTCAGTGACCCGACTGTGTTTTATCTGCTTCTTCTTCTTCCCAAGACAAAAACCTAGAAAAATTGTTTTGTGCTTCTTTCTCGGGAGATCTGCAAATTCCATTGATTTGAGATTGATTAGGCTTCGATTTCATTCAAGCGAAGAGAAGTTGCTGACCGGATTTGGAATCATGGAAGACGATGATGATTACGTGGAGTATGTCCCAGTGGCGAAGCGCAGAGCAATGGAAGCACAGAAGATACTTCAGCGGAAGGGAAAAGTCTCGGAGCTGGAGGAAGAAGCCGAGAAGGAAAAGCTCGCCGAAGCTAAACCCAGTTTACTCGTTCAAGCAACTCAGCTGAAGCGAGATGTTCCCGAGGTCAGTGCGACTGAGCAAATCATTCTACAAGAGAAGGAGATGATGGAGCATTTATCTGATAAGAAGACGCTAATGTCTGTTCGTGAATTGGCCAAAGGTATCACTTACACAGAGCCTCTCTTAACTGGTTGGAAACCCCCTTTGCACATTAGGAGGATGTCGAGTAAACAGAGAGATTTCATTAGGAAGCAATGGCATATCATTGTTAACGGTGATGATATTCCTCCGCCGATTAAGAACTTCAAGGACATGAAGTTTCCGAAACCTGTTCTCGATACGCTCAAGGAGAAAGGGATTGTGCAGCCGACTCCGATCCAAGTTCAGGGTCTTCCTGTGATTCTGGCGGGGAGAGATATGATTGGGATTGCGTTCACTGGTTCGGGGAAGACGTTGGTTTTCGTGCTTCCCATGATCATGATTGCTCTTCAGGAGGAGATGATGATGTCTATCGCTGCTGGAGAAGGTCCCATTGGGCTTATTGTTTGTCCCTCTAGAGAGCTTGCTAGGCAGACTTATGAAGTTGTTGAGCAGTTTGTGGCTCCTTTAGTCGAGGCTGGATATCCTCCTTTGAGGTCGTTGCTGTGCATCGGAGGAATTGATATGAGATCACAGTTGGAGGTTGTGAAGAGAGGTGTTCATATAGTTGTTGCAACTCCTGGGAGGTTGAAGGATATGCTCGCCAAGAAGAAGATGAGCCTAGATGCTTGCAGGTAAGACTAGTTTTACTCTTTTCTTTTGGTTCTTTTGAAAATGATTGATCAGCCTGATACTTCTGCGTTATTTGATCTTATAGTCTCACTTTTTGAGTTATGCATTTAGCTAGATTCTTTGGACTATCTGTTTACTTCTGGTTTATACTTATAGTGCCTACTTCTGTGATTTCTGTCAAGCTTGAGAGATCAATAGGATTGTGTTAGCACTTCTTTGCAATATTTGCTCTTCATTGCGTGACTCTATATGGTTTCCTTTCTCTGACTAAATTTTCAGCGATCATGTTTCTTTTGGAATGCATCTTTTTTTTTTTGTGTATTCTTGAGTCTGTACATATGTTAGATGAACAAGATGACAATGGTGTTTACCTTGATATAGGTACTTGACATTGGATGAGGCAGATAGGTTGGTTGATTTGGGTTTCGAAGATGACATAAGGGAAGTCTTTGACCATTTCAAGTCTCAGCGTCAAACACTTCTGTTTTCTGCCACTATGCCCACAAAGATTCAAATCTTTGCCAGAAGTGCTCTGGTGAAACCTGTGACTGTCAACGTAGGAAGAGCTGGTGCTGCGAATCTCGATGTCATCCAAGAAGTGGAATACGTGAAACAAGAAGCAAAGATTGTTTACCTCCTAGAGTGCCTGCAGAAAACTTCCCCACCGGTTTTAATTTTCTGTGAGAACAAAGCTGATGTTGATGATATTCACGAGTACTTGCTACTGAAAGGAGTGGAAGCAGTGGCCATCCATGGAGGGAAAGATCAAGAAGATAGAGAGTACGCCATCTCTTCGTTCAAAGCTGGGAAAAAAGACGTCTTGGTCGCGACTGATGTTGCTTCGAAGGGTTTAGATTTCCCTGATATACAGCATGTAATCAACTACGACATGCCTGCAGAGATTGAGAACTATGTGCATAGGATAGGGCGAACGGGTCGGTGTGGGAAAACTGGGATTGCAACCACGTTTATAAACAAGAACCAAAGCGAAACCACGCTGCTCGATCTGAAACACTTGCTGCAAGAAGCTAAACAGAGGATCCCGCCTGTCCTCGCTGAGCTGAGTGATCCAATGGAAGAAGCAGAGACCATTGCTAATGCGAGTGGTGTCAAGGGTTGTGCTTATTGTGGTGGTCTTGGACATCGTATCCGAGACTGTCCAAAGCTGGAGCACCAGAAGAGTGTGGCCATCTCTAATTCTAGAAAAGACTATTTTGGCTCTGGTGGATACAGAGGAGAGATCTAAATCTTTTGGTTTCATGGTTTGTTTTCCAATCTTGCTTCCATCTCTTTGCAAGTTCCTCTGATGTTAGCTGTCACCGATTTGTGATTTCTTTGCTCGATCTTGTCCTTCTACTTATTTAAACTTGTCAGCTGGATATGGTTCTGATACTTAACTCAAGTCTGGGTGTTACTGGCGAATGTATCTTCAAATGTATGGATCTGTAATTTGAAGTTTTGTATCGTTTAAAGATAAAGAACTTAGGTTTATCTGTATTCTGTGATACATATTACATATCATGTTGACGCAAAAATGTAGGGAGTATAAGTAACTGAACAGATACACATTGGTTCAAAAGAAAATTACTCCTGTTCTTTTTTTAAAAAAAAATTGAATTTTATCGAATGTCGCATGTGTTCGTTATTTCAAATACAGTTTTCCCAAAATCCTGTACACAAGTAACATAACTCTTTCTGTTACTAAAAAAGGTAACATAACTCTTTCTGTTGAATCAATATCAAATTCACACGAATTGACTCCAACCATGGGAATAAATAAAACTTTCGACTAATATTAATTGGTAAAAAAATGTAGTCGTCACAGATAAATAAAACTTTTGACTAAACGTAATTGGTAAAAAAACGTAGTCATCACAGTTTGAGAAGTATAAATAGAGACGTATGCATCATCATAACTCATTCATAAACATCTTTTAAACAAACAAACTCATTCATAAACACAAAGAAGAAGAAGAAGAAGAAGAAAATGGGGAAAGTTATTAGCATTGTGTTCGTTATGATGATACTAGCTATCGTTGTGATAGAAGGAGAAGCAAAATCGGAAGTACAATGCAGTGTGATTTGTCGACCACATTGCACACGCACATCACCAGCGTCAGAATGCGCGGCTTGTCGTACCAAATGTTACGGCTCTCCACCGGCTTCAGTGAGAGACAGGAACCGCAACATGGATCCGGCAGAACAGAAACAACAATAGATCTTCTTTTTTCATTTTGTTTTTCATTATACATTAAACTTGTACTCTTATGGATTGTTCAAACCTTTTAGTATCTCTAATTATATGCAACGACGTCAAACAACAGTAAAATTATAAAGGGATAAATTTTCTTTTCTCCAATCTTCTTCTCTCATACCAGTTGTGGTGTACTGATTGAATATGTGCATTCTTGGATTTGTAAAAACATGAATCTAAGTTTGAGAAGCAATACATTATGTCAAAATCGAATTCTACTTTGCAACAAAAAAAGAAATACAAAAGAGTGAGATTAGATATAAGCTAAAGTTATAGTTAAGACACTGTTCACGAGAAGATGTTGAAGAGGAAACCTCCATGAGTGGCAAAGAAAGGAGCAAAGACAAGAGACTCAACAGCCATTAGCTTTATCAATATGTTAAGCGAAGGTCCTGACGTATCCTTCAATGGATCTCCTATTGTGTCCCCTATCACCGCTGCCTTGTGTGGCTCTGACCCTTTTGGTCCTAAGCTCCTCGCGTGCTCTGATGCGCCCGCCTCAATGTACTTCTTGGCATTGTCCCAAGCTCCTACAGTGTTCGATGCAGATATCGCAATCTGAACTCCGGAGATAAGGGAGCCAGCAAGAACACCAGAGAGAGTCTCAACGCCGAAAAAGAAACCAACAATGAGAGGAGTAAGCATGACAAGGCAACCAGGAGGAATCATTTCCTTGATGGAAGCATCAGTGGAGATCTTGACGCACGTGGCATAGTCCGGTTTCGCAGTACCTTCCATGAGTCCAGGTATAGTGTTGAACTGCCTCCTCACTTCTTCAACCATCTTAAGCGCTGCACTTCCAACGCTCTTCATCGTCATCGCAGAGAGCCAATACGGAAGCATTGCTCCAACAAGCAACCCTATCACAACCTTCGGTGTCAACACATCCACTGTTTGAATCCCTGCTCGGCTCACAAACGCACCGAACAGAGCCAACGACACTAGAGCAGCAGAGCCAATCGCAAATCCCTTTCCGATAGCTGCAGTTGTGTTTCCAGCGGCGTCAAGAGCATCTGTTCTTTCTCTGATGCGGTGGCTCATTCCAGCCATCTCAGCGATACCACCAGCATTGTCACTGATTGGACCATATGCATCAATCGCCAAACCAGTTGCTATGGTACTCAGCATTCCTAGCGCAGCTACAGCTACACCGTACATTGCAGCCAAGCTGAAGCTCACAAAGATACTCACAGCAATAGCAAATATTGGGATTATAACGGATTTGTATCCCAAAGCAAGTCCGAATATAACATTGGTCGCTGCTCCAGTTCTGCATGAATCTGCCACGTCTTGCACAGGACTGCAAAGCACAGACAGAACAAAACTTGTCATCAGATAAGCCACAGAGAGAGAGGGAGAGAGTAAAAGTAGTTTCTTTCACATGTATGCGTTGCTCGTGTAGTATTCAGTAACAAAGCCAATAATGAGTCCAGCCCAGAGACCAACAGCAACACACAGAAATAGCTCCCTGCAAAATCCAAGACCAAAGTGCTTAACTTTGACAAGAGAGGTTTCACAAAGTTTGACCAAACAGAGGATCTTATACTTACTTACCAGTTTTTCACAAGTTTCTGTGTTCCAAAGTTGTAGATTGTGAAGGAATACGGTAGAGCAGTCCACGACACTATGGCGATTCCGACAGTCATGAAAAGAGTTGAGATGATAAGCTGGTTTTTCAAAGCAGGTTCGATCTCCTTAACCGCCTTAATCTCAGAGATGTCAGTGGCAAAGAGAGTAGTGATCAAACAAACCAAGATTCCCATTGAGCTGATGAGCAATGGGAACAACATGGCAGTGAAGTCATGGCTGATCCCAAAAGACGAGATTGAAGCAACAACAAGCGCAGCACAAGACGACTCAGCGTACGATCCAAAGAGATCAGATCCCATCCCAGCAATGTCCCCAACATTGTCTCCAACATTATCAGCAATAACCTGTGAAACTATAACAACAATTAGTGTTGAACTTCTCACTTCTCAGCAATAAAAACTAATTAGTAATGTGTTGTCATTTAGCTTACAGCTGGGTTTCTTGGATCGTCTTCGGGAATATTCCTTTCAACTTTGCCAACAAGGTCAGCACCAACATCAGCAGCCTTAGTGTAGATCCCACCACCAACTCTACCAAAGAGCGCCATGGAAGATCCACCAAGCCCATAACCAGTGATGGACTCAAAAAGGCCTTCCCAGTCATCACCGTAGTAAATCTTGAAGAGGTTGATAGTAATGTAAAGCACCAAGAGACCGTTCGCAGCGAGAAGGAAGCCCATCACAGCGCCAGACCTGAACGCAACGATGAAGGCCTTTCCTACGCCTCTCCTAGCTTCCAGCGTGGTTCTAGCGTTGGCGTAAGTGGCGATCTTCATACCGAGAAAGCCGGAGAGGACTGAAGTCACGGCGCCGAGCACGAAGGAGATGGTGCTGAAGACAGCGGTGGCGAGAGCAGGCTTGCATGTTGTTGTCTTGTCGTAAGTGCAAGGCTGGCTCTTGGTGCTGAATCCTTGGACTGAGCCGAGGAAGAGGAAGATGATTGCAGCGAAGAAGACCATGAAGACGCCAACATATTTGTACTCTGTGAAGAGAAAAGATGTTGCACCTGTTCCACACCCACACACAAGAAGATTTACAGATTATTAACAGAGACAAATTATTCAGAGACTCATGAAGCTCTCAGTAGCAATTTAGTAGATGACAAGCTTTTAAGTCACGTGTGAGGCACGTGTACCAGTATAAGCTATGACAGTTTCTTTACTTGTCTAGCAGATCCGAAACAGAACAAAAAAGGTTTAATTTTTATCATCTTTTGAAAGTGACATTTCCAGGCTTTGAAATTTCACCGCAATTTTCTATTTTCCGCCCCAACGAAGCGAGGAAGTTACAATTGAGATGTACTAGGATACGGAGGAGACAGCTAAAAAACAGAGCAGATCGAAGAAGAGGTCTCTGTTTCTCACCTTCGGAAATAGCGGTCTGAATCTCAGCGCATTTGGCAACGACGCTCTGATCATTAACACCTTCCTCTTCCTCGATCAAATAATCGCCGTGTCCATTCCTCCCGTCTTCAGAAAGAGACGACGCGCCACGATCGGCGGTGAGTTTCACGCATGAGACAATATACCACTGGAAAAGTGAGAACGCAATACCCACGACGGCGCACACTGGCACCAAAATCTCCGTCCAAAACTCCGGTAACAACGCCTTCGCCACCATTTCTCTCCTAAAACCGTACGCAAATCAAAACTAGAGAAAAGAGAGATATTGGTGCTTGGCGAGAGAGAGAGAGAGAGATGATAGAAATGAAGTTTCAGAGGAAGTGAAGCAAGTCGGTGAGAGATATCGTGTCGATTTACAAATAAGACTTCGATGCTCTTCACTAAAAACTAAAAAGCGGTCGGAATTTCTTACGCGCGATAATGTGCACGTTTATTACCATACACCTCTTTTATATGAACCGTTTAATTTATATCTACCGCCGATCCAACGGCTCTTAACGTGTTAGTCTTGGAAAAAAAAGGTTAATTATCAAAATACACGTGGATAGGATAGTAACCACGTCACATACACGTGGCTTAGACTCACCAAAATGTTCCATCAAAAAGAAAATCATGTAGTGGCACGGCTACTAATATTCGGTATGAATTGGATAGTTAGTAAGGTTGAATATTATCTTAAATCATTGTAAATCAGGTCATCACTCTCATCTTTCTCCAACTTAAAACAGTTAACGATATATAATAATTAAGGGTATGACGATGATACGAGGAAAGTTGTAGAATGGTATAATAATGATCAAGTACATCTATGATAACCAGAGCCGTGCCTAATGAACAAAAAAAGAAACTTTGGCCTACGGCCTCAGTTTTATAATAGGATCAAAGGCATATAAACATGAGGCATATTTTATAGTTTCAGTGTTTCACATATGCGATATTGCTTCTTTATATCTAAGCTTTTATATCCAAAATTTAAACTAACCACAATGTTTCAAGACTCTTTTCCATATATGGGTTTTATTATAGTGTAAATTTTTGTTTTTTGCTTATGACATCACAAAAGTCCCTAAATATCAGATATATATACTAGAAAAAATTATTTTGGCTTATGGCATCCGAAATCCTTGGCACGGCACTGATGATAACGTAGTGTTCAGTCTAAAAGAGTTGTCACGATATCAATTTTGTTGTTCTACAGTTATGTATAGTATCATTTCGAAGGAACAATGTAACTCCAATCACCCGACCTACATGGCTACATTTATGCATCAATGCATTATGTTATTGGTAAATCAGCTCACCGGTTTGTTGTGAATTATAGACCAGCAGTAATCAATAAATGTACTATCGTATAGATAGGATACTAAGTTTTGTAATTAACAAAACAAATTGTTCAATCAATTAACCTCCTTTGGTCCACCCCTCCTACTCGAACCCAAAATTATTCATAACCAATCCGACTTGTCACAATTTACATTGCTAATTGATAATATTATTGGTAAATCAGCTCACCAGATTTTGGTATACACCTTTACCAGCAATAATCATAGTATTAGAAATAATATAACCCTTATTTATCCATATATCTTTCAATAATTAAGTAAGCTAAACGTTAAACCAGCAGTATGACTATGATCTAATCAAGGTCCGTTTTATATATATAAGTCGTCAACTTGTTCAACTATTTTATTCCTTTTAATTGGATTTCGACTATTATTCATAATTTCATACACAGTATATATTAGAGAAAAAAAAAAAAAAAAAAAAGACTCAACCATAATTGTGAACAGACATAAGAGCTATTCAAAGTCAACGATAGAAACGGTTACAAGATTATCCAATGAAGTACAAGACACGTGGCGGATGAAGCTGAAATTAAGAAGGATGAACTCAGAATATTGACCTTCCACCAATAGAAACCTTAATTAATACATCATCATCCGCTGGAGTAAATGCTTTAATGGATAAAATATAAGAAAAAAAACTGGTTGAAGTTTCCAACAAAATCTCTGACTCCTATATATCACATTCACAGTGTTCCCATTCTCTCGTATAATCGTTAATTCTATCTTCAACCACCTCCTTCTTCTCCAATCAATCGAATCATTCAACAAAAGAAATGGCAGAAAGTGGATTCATCGGATCAATAGATCAAGGAACGACGAGCACAAGATTCATCATTTACAATCACGATGCTAAAGCCGTTGCTTCTCATCAAGTCGAGTTCACTCAGTTCTATCCCGAAGCTGGGTATGACATCCTTCTTCCTCTTTTCTGACTTTTTTATTATTCATTGCTTATTACGAGACTTAACTTATTATCGATGATCCAGATCTTGTCTGATTTCAAACTATGTCCGTACGTCTCGATTTGTAGTTTTTTTTAAAATCACATTTTTCGGATTTCTGCGCGATCTGTAAATTTTGTTCCTTTATCTCCAAAATTCATGGACTAATCATCAAAATGATTTCAAATCCGTGCTTGAATTTAATGCATTATATAGATCATCACGTACACCGGTTCACGTCTCTTGTTGTTGTTGTTGTTGTTGTTTTTGAGACTGAGATGTTTCTGTGTGGTTATTTGGGAATGAAGATGGGTGGAACACGATCCGATGGAGATCCTGGAAAGTGTGAAAGTGTGTATCGCAAAGGCTCTTGACAAAGCCACAGCCGATGGACACAACGTCGACGGCGGCTTGAAAGCCATTGGACTCACGGATCAGAGAGAGACGACCGTCGTCTGGAGCAAATCCACTGGTCTTCCTCTCCACAAGGCTATCGTCTGGATGGATGCTCGCACCAGTGCCATCTGCAGGTAACCTAACCAAATCATCTGCGAATGCTTAATCAATCCTCAAAACAGTTGCTAAATCAGCTGTGGTGTGGTCTGTTTTTGTTTTTGGATCATCTTCACAGGAGACTAGAGAAGGAACTATCAGGAGGAAGGTCCCATTTCGTGGAGTCTTGTGGCTTGCCCATAAGCACCTACTTCTCTGCCATGAAGCTTCTTTGGCTCATGGAGAACGTCGACTCCGTCAAGGAAGGTATCAAGAAAGGAGATGCCATCTTTGGCACAATCGACACCTGGCTGATCTGGAATATGACCGGAGGTGTAAACGGCGGCCTACATGTCACTGACGTCACCAATGCATCGCGGACGATGCTCATGAACCTCCACACGTTAAGTTGGGATGACAGCACTCTGAAGACTCTTGGCATTCCAGCTGAGATCTTGCCAAAGATCGTGAGCAACTCCGAAGTCATCGGAGAGATCTGCAAAGGCTGGCCTATTCCTGGTATCAAGATCGCTGGATGTCTGGGAGATCAACATGCGGCAATGCTGGGACAAGCTTGCAAGAAAGGAGAGGCCAAGAGTACCTACGGCACAGGCGCTTTCATTCTCCTCAACACGGGAGAAGTGGCGATCAAGTCAGGACATGGACTTTTGACCACACTTGCTTACAAGCTCGGTCCTCAAGCACCAACGAACTATGCACTTGAAGGTTCGATTGCGATAGCAGGAGCTGCTGTACAGTGGTTGAGAGACAGCCTCGGGATAATCAAGAGCGCGAGTGAGATCGAGGAGCTGGCTGCTATGGTGGATTCAACGGGAGGTGTGTACTTTGTGCCTGCGTTTAACGGTTTGTTTGCGCCGTGGTGGAGAGAAGACGCTCGTGGTGTCTGCATTGGGATCACGAGGTTCACCAACAAGTCTCACATTGCGCGAGCTGTCTTGGAGAGTATGTGTTTCCAAGTGAGGGACGTGCTCGACTCCATGAACAAAGACGCCGGTGAAAAGGGTTCCTTAGATAACGCGAAAGGAGAGTTCTTGCTTAGAGTTGATGGTGGTGCTACGGCCAACAACCTTCTGATGCAGATTCAGGTATGATTGATGATCTATTGATCTCTCCTCTTCTTTACTACTGTAGTAGTTTTATGCGGATTCAGGTACGTGAATCTCATTTCTGGAAACGATGGCAGGCTGATTTGATGGGAAGTCCGGTGGTGAGGCCAGTGGACATAGAGACAACAGCGCTAGGAGCAGCCTATGCAGCTGGATTGGCAGTGGGATTCTGGAAGCAGGAAGACATTTTCGAGTCTGGGGAGAAGGCGAACAACTCCAGAGTTTTCAGACCTGCAATGGAAGAAGGAATCAGGAAGAAGAAAGTTGAGTCATGGTGCAAAGCTGTGGAGAGAACATTTGACCTTGCTGATCTCTCCATTTAAACATCAACTTGAAAACTGTTTCATCAAAAATCACCACTTTGTCTTTTTTTCATAGATTACTTCGTCTTTGTTTACCACAGTTTGGGCTCTGTTTTTTTAAGTCATCTTATATCTTTAACGTCTAATATAAATGTTGCTTAAACAAACATCAGTCTTTGGATGATTTTTAGAAAATTAAACTGCTTATAATATTTACCAAAGTTGCTACAGCTTCGACAGATAAAAGTTATAATATTAGACAGATGAAGTACATTCAACTCTCTCTTGAATTTAGCAAACCATCATCTCCCTGTAAAATGGTTCTTGTCCGTTGTCAACACTCCTCAACACCTCCAAACAAGACCTGGGCCTCCTCTCTAAGGCCTTGCTTCTTCGTAATAAGCCTTTTACTTATCATAAAATGGGCTCTACGTTGTTGTCTTTCTTTTTCAGTTTTTTCTAGTCTCAAGTTCAAAGAGTCAAATAAAAGCAAAAAGAACCAACGAAGAAAAATGTAATAAAAAGTCTTTGGTTTTTGCCTACTTCCTTCACGCAACCTAAAAAGTCTTTTTGATTATTCAACGTTTATAATTTGAACATTCCTCTCTCTTTGTCCTAAATTATTTAATAGGGTGCATCTCATATTTCACGTTCAACATCAATATAAAATGCAAGGAAAGTAGAAGTAAACTTAATCTTGATCCCTAACAAAAAGCAACGAAACAAAAGAAAAACAATCTCTATCGCTCTTGTATTTTTACTCAATGATGTACATTTAATCTGATACATTTTTTTCAAATTTTGAACCCCCATAAATTTTGTAGATGAAGTTCTGATGCACTTTCCGTCATTGCATTTATTTATTTTTGGAGAATTCAAAATTCGAAAATCATGGACGTGATCATTATATCCATGTATTATGGTCTTCAAATCTCATTAGCTATTAGCTATTACCATTAGCAATTTAGGAAACTATCCAGAAGTTTCTCAACATAATATTCTACTGTCCTTTTTAGCTATGCTGTGTTGTCCTTTTTCAACATAATAGGAAACTACTCTTAGACTATAATTTTTGCAGACGGTGGAGATATTTTCAACATGTATCAAGGAAGAATTTGCAACATAATAGGAAACTTCCCTTAGACTATAATTTGCAGACCAAAATTATAACGTTTGTATAGAAGGAAGTACAAAAGTTAGACTAGCAAATGTACTAACTAATTTCCTTACCGAGTCAACAATGGACCGACTATTTTTCATTAGCACTTATCAGGTACTGAATTGGCAACAATTCTAATTCGTTACCTTCGGGGTTGACTTTATTGAACATTATAATCATCTGAGAAAAAGTTTGAAGCCGTATCCGAATCATATATTATAAATCTAATTGAATCATTAGCAACTAAAAATAAATTTATGTTTAGTCAACTTAGCAACTACACATTCTAGACGTGCAAAGTCAAACACAAACATATTAGCAACTTTTATAATTACTAAAATTAATAAGTTGGCCAAAATGTCAAAAAAAACAACACAAGACGGTCTTCTTTAAATAATTGGGTACTAGGCAGACGAATGTCTTTTAGACCAAAACAAAACACGCTTCTCTTCTCTTCTCTTCTCTTCCTCTCTGCTTCTAACTCGATACATCATCTCCACCGCCGCCGCCATGAGCCACCAGAACCACCACCACTCATCGAACTATGCCAATGACCCAAACACCATGTTCGTTCAAGCAGATCCCTCCAATTTCCGCGACATCGTCCAAAAACTCACCGGAGCACCACCGGAACTCTCCGCATCCGCCGCCTCCGCCGCACAGCAGAAGCTTCCCTTAACCCCAAAGAAACCGGCATTCAAGCTCCACGAACGCCGTCAATCATCCAAGAAAATGGAGCTGAAGCTCAACAACGTCACCAACGACTCATTCAGCCATTTCCACAGAGGATTCCTGGTCTCTCCCGTCTCTCACCTCGACCCATTCTGGGCGCGCGTGAGCCCACATTCAGCGCGTGAGGATCACTACTCGTCGCCGGACATGGAAGAGCAAAAGGCCATAGCGGAAAAAGGGTTCTACTTCCTCCCTAGTCCGAGAAGCGGCGCCGAGCCAGCACCTGAGCTTTTGCCTCTGTTTCCTCTTAGCTCTCCCAACGGCACTAGTCACCGTATTGATGACGATTATCGCGACTCTTAATCAGAGTTTGTAGTCGTAATTTGAGTTTTAGGCTATTATTCATCGTTAAGTTGGTGACACGTGATGTCGCTGTTGCTTTTTTTACTATTTTTGTTAGGGCTATTATCCGTTTTCTAGTATTAAACTATGCTCTTTTTCATTTTCTGTTTCCTTTCGTTAACCATTTCCAAGGGTCAACTATTCCGGCGCGTGTACTCCACTTTCGCTAGAATATAAAATCCTGTTTTATAGGCGGAAATTACTTGCATTAGTCAATTGAAGATATCATTTTCACGAGAATGTATGTATCGTCTACAACGATTAATACGTGGGATCCAAAAACGCACGCTACATAGTTCAGGAAAGTTAACTTTGATCAAAAAGTTACTAATTACAATCTGTATTGTCTACAACGATTAATACGTGGGATCCAAAAACGCACGCTACATAGTTCGGGAAAGTTAACTTTGATCAAAAAAGTTATTAATTTCACTCTGCATTTATGTTTTTTTTACATTAGTGACAATGTGTGTCATCATGTTAAGGAAACACGTGAGATGGTCAAAGATACAATCACGGTTCCTAGTTGATTCTCTTACAATATATATCCTGTTGATGGTCAAAGATTCAATCACGGTTCCTAATTGATTCTATCATATGTTGTAATATAGATCCTTTCACAACATATGGTAACTCTTACGGTTCCTAATTGATTTTCTCTTTAATATGGTAACATATATATTCTTTCATAACTTATGGTAACTCTTGTAATTAGCTGAACCTGTACAGCTAGCCACATTATAAGATTGTAATCGCGCTATTCTATCATTTACACATCAAACGCAAAAGTTTTGAGTCAAGTTGATGTGTGAACTCACTGAACTGTGAAGAAGTGAATGAATAGATAGGCTACATAGGCTCACTTATAATAGATACAAAACTGTGTTGACTTTTTGGTTAGCAAAAGAAAGTAAATAAGCTAAACATTTTGTGGTGAAAGGGGTACAGTGTGACATTTAATTGTTTTTAATCCGTTTTAGTGTGTGTATGTCATAAAGCTGTGCAGCCGTTGGATTTAATGACAAAGCTGTGACGCAGAATGAAGCGGCGTCTATTTCCTCTGCAGATCCAACGGCTACGGTTTAATTATAATAAAATGCAATTTTCTTTTGAAAAAGGTTTTAGACGTATGAAAAGAATTAAATAGATGTTACTTGTAACAGAGGGTGTCTCTGCATCTTTCTTTAAAGTCAGTTGTCAGTCTATCTTCGAACTCTGCCCCTCAGGTGTAATCCAAATTTCAAACCTCTGCTCAAATTACAGCCGTCCATTTGTACTTTCCTAAATAGCTGAATCAAGTGTCCTCCGTAGCCCAATTAAATTCCAGAGAGCATCAACAAAGTTTAGTCTATTGGGCCTATGAAGCAGAAAAGTAAGTGTTAAACTAGCCAGTAGCCATCGAATTGAATTTCATATTAGTCTTGTGTAGTCTGTAGACAAATGCTGGAGATACCAAAACTTAAAAGTTCGAATTTTCTTTCTGTAGCTTTGTGTAGAAGTCGAACATAATCATTTAGTTAAAAATGAATAGTTGTCTACTTGTCTTATCATATAAAATTATGAAGATACTTTTGTACATTCACACAACTAAATTTCTTTTCTTTTTTTCACGAAAATTAATATGCATACATTAGCACACAAGGAAACCAGCTGATTTGTTAGGATTTAGGTTTAAACTTTAAAGTTTAAACTACAAAGATTGGAGCATTTTCATTACACCTCCAAGAAGCAACCAGCTTGAACGTGACCAACTTGTGTTTCCAATTTTACCCACTGAGAATTACTTAAATCACAAACGTACCCTACCGTCGCTTCACCGTAACCAGCCAAAGCCTTGCCGTTGCCGATCACAATCAGCTTCCCCGGTTTAACCGCCACGTAAGACACGTTGTACACATCGCTAGGGATCTGTCCCACTTTCTGCCATGTGTCCTTTCTCATAACCATCACGTCTCCGCGGCAGCACGAATAGAAAACTCCGTTTTCACCGGCGGCGTAGATAGGAGGGCTAGTGGCATCGCCGGTGTCCATGAAGTCCTCCGTCACTGGACCCCACATCCACGTGGACGTATCAAACGATTCAACGTTTTTACAGAACTGACCTTGTTCCTCCGTGGTGTATCCACCGATGACGTGGAATCTGCCAGCATGGAATATCGCTTTGCACTCGTCTCGTTCTCGCGCCATATCCGGCAAAAACGTCCACTTGTCTTCTGCCACATCATACACGATTGCTGATGTCAGCGCACGTTTCTCTTCATCATGTCCGCCCGCAACCAACACCGTCCGATCAGAATCCGAAACGCATCCAAAGAAGGATCTCTTTACACCTGGCATGTTTGCCCCCACGCGCCATTTGGAGGTGAGGAAACTGAATACGAAGACGGAGTCAGAGGCCTGCCACGTAACCGGGTCAAGCCCACCCAAGACAATAAGATCGGACCCGACAGAAACCAAACTACAGAAGAGAGGAAGTCCGTTTGATTGACCCGGAAACAGAGGAAGCTCAGTCCAGAGACCCACGTCGGATTCAAGAACAGCGACTCGGTATTCCGGCGTGGCGAAATTCTTTTCGGATCCGGATTCTCTGTCGGGGTTGACCCGGGCCTGTGACAGGATAAGAAGCTCTTGGCTATGTCCTGAAGCTTTCCGCTGCTGGAAAAACTCGGAGAGCGATACTTGGCGGTTCCAGCCTCTGCAAACGGAGGCGATCACAGGGAACTGTTTGTAGGAGGCGCGTAGGAGACACTCGCGAGCAACGTCATCGGGAAGATTGGGGATAAGTTCCATCACGAAAGTATCAAAGATTGGAAGCTCTCAGTTTTTTGTAAAAAAAGTGGAGATTAGTAAAGAAGAAGAAGAAGAAGAAGAAGAAGAAGAAGGAAATATTGAGCTTAAGAAGAGTGAGAGATGTATATAAAAGTTTCAGTGAGAGAGGAAGTGGATCGAGAAAAAGGTTGAAGATGGTGAAGGAGAAAGAAGGGAGTGTGCCGCTTTTATAGATGTTTGAAGATAAGTGTTTCTAGAAACTCGTTGATTCATTCATACGATTTTAAAATATTTCGGAAATTTTGTTTTCGTTTGCTTTGTTGTGGAACTTTTTTGTTTGAAAAACAAGATAAAGACAATTTTATAGCTTATCTATTTTTTTTACTTATAAATGAAATGTAGATAACAGACTATAAATTTCCAATTAACAACGAAGATATATCCACACCTAAGATGGATACATGAATGGTAAATATGTTATCCAAGTCCTTTGGACTACTACCGATTAGATCGTGGATGTCGTTCTGACATTTTTTACCTGTTGTGTACAAAACTGTAGTTTACACTTGTAATAGTACGCTACAAACAGAAATAAACTAATTTCTCGTTAAGGTAAAAAAGAACTATACTTAGACACTAACGACTGTACTTTGTCTGAATGTCTTCTGAATCTATATTTTAGATCACGCCCTTTCTTTTCACAGATTAAAATATTATTTGGATCACACCCTTTCGATTTGTAACTAGTAAGATATCCATTTCTTAATTACAAACAACAAAACTTGCTTTATGCTACACATATCATACGATATGATCAAAGACATGATACATCATACATAGCTAAGAATCAACGGATACTACAAAGAAGTAAAATAATCCTAGACAGTATGTGGAACACAATCCACGCACATCATGTATATTACTACTAGCGTTTTTAAAATAATTTAAATGTATCAGAAATGATATAAAATAAATAAAAATAAAAATATGTCCAAATCCAGCTCGAAAGCTAATGTTTGGGAGTCTTTGCTCTTATATTTCCTTCTAGATTATCTTTTCTGACCCTTCTAGATTTTTTGTTTTTGTTTTTAAAGATATATCAATTGTTTGGTCTTTCTTGTTTTATTACGCTTGTTGTCTGTATGTGTGTGTCTTCGGTCGGCCATAAACAATTGATCCTTGAATTATCATCTAAATTTGCTATGATACTCGGACACTTTGAACTATTACGCGGATGAACGAAGATTTATGTATTCAAAAACGTAGTTAAATCAAATAGATCTTCGTCGTCATTTTTCTTTTTTCTTTGAAAGGATCTTTGTTAAGTTGATCAATGAGTGCGACATAACGAGCCGAAAGTCTGTCTCCTATTACACGGAAGCGATCGATAAGACTATACTTGTACTACCAAATCTTGAATGCTTAGTAATTAATGTAATCTCTAGCGTATAGACACTTATATACACAAAAAAATTGTTATAGCTGTACAAAATTGAATAATACCATATTTGAGGAAGCAGCATGTTCCATGCAACTTGGACTCGTTCTAGTGTCCACCACATGTACCAAGTTGTAAACATAACATGTATATCTGGTCTGTATTTGCATATGAATGTAACCTTTTTGGCTTTATTCAACAGAAGTAGTATTATATACTTCAGTGAACGTACAAACACCCCACCGAATTTCGAAGAAACATTTTGATATCGTTTTTTTTTTTTTTTTTTTTTTTTTTTTTTTTTGTAAAGTAAGGTATTAAAATGCGTTTATGTGCGATGTCCAAGACTTCAAACTATATATTTTTTAGATAATATCCAACGGTCTAGTAACTGAGATCATTATTGGAAAAGAAAATCGAAGTGTCCAATCTATATTTATATTCAATTCATTGCTGTCATTGCTGCCGCATGTTGATAAACTAATTTAATCTGTGACGTGAAGAAAACGGGAGCTAGATAAATTACGAAAGGGAAGCAAAGCCAGAGAGCGTCGACTGAAAAACTGTTGAACTTGAACCGAATGACTAGAAATGTTGACGAAAACAAAACGACACGGCGTCGACATCCTTAAAGAGAAGAGTCCTGTGATTCGTCGGGTGGCTCTTTGATAATTCAAAGCAACGACGGAAATAATCCGTTTCTTCGCAGATAGGAATAGGCTAGTACTGCATTGCTGTGACGAGTTCTGGGACCCACGTAATGAATGTTCGTGTCGAATTTTCAAAACTCATACTAGTATTTTGATATTTTCTTTGGTCGCATTCAATAATTCATATTTTCTTTCAAAAGGTATTTTCGTCACAAGAAAATTTGCCAAGGCGTTGACGAGAAGACAAAAATAAAAGGAAAAGAAATTAGCCAAACTGTTTAAGATATTGAGAAAGATATTTATAGATGAATGAGACCGATAGGGGATGATTTAAGTTATATTGTAATTGTATGCAATATTATTTTGAAACTGAATGAATCGAAGTGTATAATAGAAATCAAATTGTTACGAAGACATGATTGCCTATATATGTTTATTCGATTACTGGGCGAAAATGAAATGAAACCGGATATTTATGCTGTCGACATCAAATAAAAAAGCTCGTAGAGGATAAGCTCTCATTAACTTCTCTTTGTGCATCGTATTCGTACGTTCTATTTATCCACTATGGTTTAAGATGGTTATCCAGTAGCTGACGTGGCTTTTAAATCGTCTACTGGAAGTAACTGTAGATTTTTCTTTTATAACACTTTAAAGTGCGCAGAACAATTCTTTTTACTTTCCATCGGCATTATCATAGATTCATAGATGTATTACCATCAAACTATTTAAATTAAAGAAAAAAATCAGTTCCTGAGGGTGAAAAAAGCAGGCCAAGTTTAAGTGACTTTATTTTACTGCTCTTTGCTTGTTAACAGAGACCCCCTATAGTTTGTTTATGTCACTTTTCGGGGGAAAATATTGACACTATGATTGATTTTAAATGGGTAATGAAAGAAGGAAACCAGGATGACAATATTACTCGAAGCACGAAGGGAAGCAAAAATGATGGTAAATCAACAGATTTAGCTAATAAACACATTTATTATGTTATTTTAGTTAACGTCCAACAAACTACGAACGACAACACGATCACGACGGTCAAACGAACATGCCCAGATTCAAGCAAGAAAAGTGGGGACAGAACGTGCCAAAGCCATCCCATTTGTATCCGTCTATTAAGCATAACTCTCTAACCATGTGACTCGTGACTACGGCTTACTATTAATGTGTAGTACGTAACTGTTACGAAAAAATACCCCCTGGAATTTACGTGTTTTAACTTGGTCTTGGAATATTTTGTTCTACACTTTTGTGCACAGAATTAATTAACAACAAAGCGAGAATGAGATAAGGAGAGAAGAGCATAAGCATAGGAGGGGTTAGTGTTCTTGATGACTGAAAATAAGATATGGACAAGCTGAAGCAAAGAGAAAAGCTCCTCCAATGCATAGTATCTAACTGAACGAGCTTATTTGACTCTGGTTTACGTCGCAAGTAAACAAAAAGAAGGCACTGAAGGAGCAACACAGCAAAAACGTGAACGGCAGGATTCGAACCTGCGCGTGCAGAGCCCACATGATTTCTAGTCATGCCCGATAACCACTCCGGCACGTCCACCTTTGTTAATTGTTTCATTTTCTTACATTCAATAGACACAACTCATCTGATTTGACTTTTGAGTCGGGCTTGTCATCACTCTTCAAATTGGGCTTTGTGAACATGTCGTATTATGAATTTATTGAAAAGGTTTTTACCTTTTTGGGCTTTGTGAACTGATATAAAAAAAACGTGAACGGCAGGATTCGAACCTGCGCGGGCAAAGCCCACATGATTTCTAGTCATGCCCGATAACCACTCCGGCACGTCCACTTCGGTGTTAATGTTTCATTTGTTAGTTTCCTCAATGTAGAACCATCTGATTCGAGTTCGGGCGTCCGTATAACGTTGACTGACACTTCTCTCTCGATCAGGAAGAATAGAGAAGAAGAGACGCACGCTGTGTTAAGGTTTCTCGCTCTCTGCTTAAGTCAATTATAGTCTTCTCCTGCTTCGTTAATCGTAACCTGGATGTGATCGATTTAGCTTTCGAGGGGTTTGTACAAAAGTTCGCCATGTTTCTCCGTTCAATGCAATGCAATGAATTTTTCGAATTCCCGTGTTCCTCTTCTTAATTCGCTCTGAAATCGAATTCTAATCTACACCTGAAAATGAATCCAATGCTACTGATGATTTGTTATTTTGGTTTTTGGGAAGAAGAACATGCGTTCATGGACTATTGTTGATTTGTTTCCTTGAAATTGAGAAAAGATTGCACCATTCCTTTGTATTGAGAATTGATTTTCGCCCTTAATTTGCAGGTTTGTCTCTATCTGCCAATATAGATTGTATCTCCTAGAGAAGAAGGCTCTCGTCTTGTTTAACAAGGACAATCAATATGTCCCAAAAGCGAAATCTTCCTTCTTGGATGAGTTCAAGGGATCCTGAGAGTAGTTCGAGTAAATCTCTTAGTAAGAAGCCCAAGGATGAATTACATGATGAAGATGATAAGCAGATAAACCCAATCAAAGATCAGAAGAATAGAAATGCAGATTCAAATACCACGGATTTCTCCAAACTTATGGTTGGTTTGTCTATAAGTTGCCATGTTAGTTTATTATATGCTTTTATGATTGAGTTTGAAGAGTTTTGTAAAACTGTGCAGGAAGGAGTTGTTTTTGTGTTGTCGGGCTTTGTGAATCCTGAGAGGAGTACACTAAGGTCACAGGCTTTGGCAATGGGAGCCACTTATCAACCTGACTGGAACTCTGACTCTACTTTGTTGATCTGTGCTTTTTCTAACACTCCCAAGTTCCGTCAAGTGGAAACTAGCTCTGGAACTATTGTCTCAAAGGTTACCTCTTTGACTTCTTATAAGTGATCCAATGTGTGATTGAATTTCTCCTGTGTGCTCATGTTTTAACTGTGTTTCAGGAATGGATATCTGAGTGTTATAAACTGAAGAAGTTGGTGGATATTGAGCAATACCTTATGCATGCTGGCAAACCATGGAGGAAACACAGTGCTCCTCAAGTTGCTATTCGAGGTAAAAGAGAAAATCTTTACATCCATCTCTGTTTCAACCATCTTCTTGTCTGCTGAGTTTCAATAATTTCACCTTGTTTTAAAGTTGATATTTGGTTAAGTTGCTGACCTTGTGAAACTTTATTGGATTGTATTCTAGAAAAGAAAGAACAGTTGTCTATAAAATCAGAGAAGCAAGTCGATAAAAAACCAGAAACAAGAGGGACCCCATCTGCTTCATCCAAGGTCTGGTTGAATCTTCATCCGTAACTGATGATTTTGGTGAAATATAAGGATCCAATCAATGTATTTTTGACTGTTTATTTCCGTATCTTCACAGAGTAGATCAGGTGGCAATCTTGTGAAAGAGCCATTTTCTGTTACCGAGGTGAAGAAATGGGCCAGGGATGATCTAACTCAAACCATCTCATGGCTAGAGAGTCAGGAGGAGAAAGTAAGGGACAGTTTTTTTTTTTGTGTTCTTCTTCCAAACCATTTGTTTTTCTGATGTCTAATCATTGTTACAGCCAGAACCAGGCGAGATCAAACGAATAGCTGCAGAAGGAGTCTTGACCTGTTTACAAGACGCCATAGATTCTCTTGAGCAAAAGCAGGTTATTCTCTTTGAACTATAATAGTCGCTTGGATACATTTCTAGTGCCTTTATAAAGTCCTTCCTCTTTGGCATTTGTGTAACTTCGATCAGTTTCTTCCTGTTTAGGACATTGGATCAGTTACGGAGCTGTGGAGCTTTGTCCCTCGCGTAGTGAAGGAGCTTGGAAAGATCGAGTCTTCTTCTAAAAAGGAAAGCACCGTAGCTTTGAAGGAAGAACTTTGCAAACAAGCAAAGTCGTGGAAAAAGGTTTACGAGGCTGAGCTAGCAAAGGCGGGAGAAGAAGAATCATCGGGAACAAAAAGCAGAGGCACCTCCTCTCGGATTGATTCTGGCTACAATAGTGACGAGACCGTTGAAATGACTGAAGAAGAGATCGAACTTGCTTACAGGAACGTTTCCTCAAGCATAGCTTAGACCAAACTTGTTTCATTTTGCTTGCATTTGAGAGTTTTTCGGTTTGTTCGGTTCTACTCTTGTATGGACTGGTTTGGATTCGGTTCAGCGTTTACTCTTTACAAATTGGTCGGTTTTATACAAATTCGATCCGGTCAATTAGGTTGAGATGATCTATTATTGCTGAGTATTGGAAAACGGTTTGGTTGACTCTCTCTCAAACCGGTCTAAAATCGGAAAGAAACGAAATTAAACCGGGATAAATGAAGATTGAAGAAAGACCCTAATTTATACCCTTTATAGTTTTTTTTGTGTCTTCTGGGTTGTCTTGTTTGTTCGCAGTAGGGTTGAAGCGGATAGTACGCCACCTCTCTCTCCTCCCTATCGAACTCGCGAAGATAATCTTTCTCTTCTTCTTCTTCGTCTTCTTCGCGAGCTCTCTCAGTAGCGCCCGATAATGGGGGCTTCGCTTCCTCCTAAAGAGGCCAACCTCTTCAAGCTCATCGTCGTATGTTCCGATTCCCTCTTATTCTCTCACTGTTTTTGAGTTTGCGATGTGATGTTTTATAGCTGGCAAAATTTGGTACACTATGGGTTTTCTTTCTTGTTAAACCCTAAATTAAGCTAAACATTGATCAATAGAAATTCGTTGACATTAGAAGTAAACTGTGTGGATTTTGGGTGTTAATGTGTGTTTCCCCCTGACTTTTGATGTATGAGCTTCTTAGTTTCAATTACTGTGACTATCGATTACTGTCAGACTCTAATGAGCTTGATCGCTTCTAGGCTCGCCTAGGATCTTTGACCTGGATTCTTCAGCTTAGTGATGCTTACTTTACTTTTAGGAACACGAAAACCAAGCTTTCAGAATATATAGTGTCTACACCTTTTTGTTTTGCTTACTTCACATGGTTTATCTAGGTCATATGCATCATTGAGTGTCTATATAATTGTGCCTTTAGCAAAATGTTGTTGCAACAAACATATTTTGGCTTACTAAGCGCTCCGGTTCCTCTCACACTTGTTAGTATTAACTCAGTCTCGACCATCTCTCTAAAGTCTACTCTAGCTGAGGATTTTACTAGTGTATTGTTGAAGCTGCTTTGAATAGTTCAGATTCTTGCTATGTATTTTTCTCAAGTGTCTTTAATATATATAACACGTAATTTATTCCGAGTGATCTTATAATGCAGAAATCTTATGAGACTAAGCAGTACAAGAAAGGACTGAAGGCAGCTGATGCCATATTAAAAAAGTTTCCCGATCATGGGGGTAAGTTTTCAGTTAGCATAATGACTTTCTAATGTTAATTATCTCATCGCTATCTGAATTTGCTACTCTATGGAGTTTACTATGTCAATTTCAGTTGTGCTTTCCTTTCGTGTTAAGACTTGTTGCTTTTCTTCTTTGTGATTTCCCAGAAACTTTATCCATGAAAGGACTCACTCTAAACTGTATGGACCGCAAAACTGAAGCATATGAGCTTGTTCGGCTTGGAGTCAAGGTTTGAATATGCTCTTCATTAATCATAACATCAATCCTTAGTTTCCAGACATGGTCTGATTTTTCAGGGTAACTATGATTTATTCTTTTGTCTTTCATGCAGAATGATATCAAAAGCCATGTTTGCTGGCATGTGCTTGGTCTCCTGTACCGGTCAGACAGAGAGTATAGAGAAGCCATCAAATGCTACCGAAATGCTCTTAGAATAGATCCTGATAACCTTGAAATACTCAGAGACCTATCACTCTTGCAGGTAATTATGGTGAAAATGCAGTGAGTAAAATTTATTAGGTTTTAAAATTGGATTTTTCATTCTCGAATCTCGATGTTGCTCGCAATTCGTATTTTATTACTATTCCTTTGTGTAAGCTCGTTTCAGTCTTAATCCCTCTGTTGATGCTTTCAGTAATGTATCTTATTGTATATATCTCATTCATAGGCACAAATGCGGGACTTATCCGGTTTTGTGGAGACCAGGCAGCAGCTTTTGACTTTAAAGCCTAATCATCGAATGAACTGGATTGGCTTTGCAGTCTCCCAGCATTTAAACGCAAAGTATGTTATGGTCCTTGAACCCTTAAATTTAAATATTCTGCGTTACTTTACTCATTGAATAGAATGCTGGTCAGGGCGCTGGTATATTTATATGATTTACAATAGTGGTTTTGAACATTTTAAAGAGTAGATTGTGGACACCTTTGTTGGAACGAATCTTAGATCAGACTTTTAAGAAATAATAAACCAGTGAACATTGAGTTGAATTTATGCCTTTCCAATCAGCCAAGTGGACCTCTTTTTCTTTTCTTTTGAGAAGAGCTTACCTTAATCTCTTAACATGTTTTTTTTTTAACCAGTGCTTCTAAAGCTGTTGAAATTTTGGAAGCGTTTGAAGGCACCTTAGAGGATGATTATCCCCCAGAGAACGAGCTAATCGAGCACACTGAAATGATTCTATATAAGGTATCAAGAAAAAAGAGTTGGATAAGATCCAAACAAAGTTTTTTTTTCCCTGAAACTTCTCTGCTTTAGAACCTTCATTTCGCACTTGCACAGTTTTGATATCTGTACCTGCAGGAAATCTCACCCGGACTTTTTTCTTCCAGGTTTCCTTACTTGAGGAGAGCGGTTCTTTTGACAAAGCTCTTAAAGAGTTGTACAAAAAAGAGCCGAAAATAGTAAGTTCATAAAGCTAATAGTTCAATGTTCTTGGATCATAGGATACGCACATATTGTAGATTTAACATTTCCTCTATGGTTGTTTGTAGGTTGATAAGTTGTCTTTCAAAGAACAAGAGGTATCTCTCTTAGCAAAGCTTGGTCAACTAGAAGAAGCCAAGAAACTCTACAGGGTGTTGCTTTCCATGAATCCTGACAATTATAGGTTATTTTCTCTGCATTTCCATGTTATTCCAGAGCATTTAGCTGTGTATTACTTGTTGTTTTTCTGCTGTCATGTCTGCTTGCTCTGCTTCATTAATTTTTGCATATAAATTGACAATCTTATCATCCTATGACACTCTCAAAGGTTTTTATATACTTTTGGATACTGTCAATTAAACATGTAAAAAAGTGCATACCTTAACTTTTCAGATATTATGAAGGTTGTTTAAAAAGCGCATATTTTAACTTTTCAGATATTATGAAGGCCTCCAAAAATGTCTTGAGCTGTATTCGGAAAGTGGTCAATATTCGTCTGACCAGATTGAGAAGTTAAATGCCTTGTACCAGTCTCTAAGCGAGCAGTACACGAGGTCATCCGCTGTTAAGGTGAGAAAAGGCATATCGATGCCTGTAGTTACATACATTTGCTAATATCCTTCTACTTTTATAGGGAATTACTAGTTATCCATTTTGTTTTCGGTTATTCATTATGGCTGCTGATACTTGTAATTCGATGACTGGGGTTTAATTTGTTTATTCTCCATTTTCAGAGGATACCGTTGGATTTTCTGCGAGATGAAAGCTTTAAGGAGGCTTTAGCAAAGTACATTAAACCTCTCTTGACAAAGGTATCTTTTCTTGCTCTTGAGTCTGTTCATTTACACAATACTCTAATATAATATGTTGCTTAAATATCGTGATGCTTGTCTCAGGGTGTTCCTTCATTATTTTCTGATCTCTCTTCTCTGTATGATCACCCTGGCAAGGTAGTTTCCTGGCCTGTCCTTGACTATGGTGTTTCTAATTTCATTGATTCGGCTTCACTTATTTATGTTCTTATATGTATTTTGGTATCCAGCCTGATATATTGGAGCAACTAGTTGTTGAGATGGAACATTCAATTAGAACTACTGGAAGTTACCCGGGAAGGTAAATAACTGAATTTATTACTGAAGTATTTACTGGATTAACGCCGTGTATGATATAGTCTTAATAGTTTAGTAACGTTGGTGATTTGGTCAATCATTTGTTTTGATTAATTCTTAATTGATGCAGTGATGTGAAAGAGCCCCCGTCGACACTACTGTGGACACTGTTTTTCTTGGCTCAGGTTCACTTTTGCTATATTTCTTAATTTCTCTCTATAATTAACAGCTTTTCGGTTGAAGTTTTGTTTATCTTATTATGATACCTTGTTTTCCGTAATGCAGCATTATGACAAGCGTGGTCAGTATGATGTTGCCCTTGGTAAAATTGACGAGGCCATTGCTCATACGCCGACAGTGATTGATCTGTACTCCGTTAAGGTATATGTCACTATTGCTGCCTGCACCATGTATGTAGACACATTTTGAAAACCATAGTGACAGGATGGCTGGGTTTGAACTTCTTTAGTTATAGCGATTGTGTTAACAGAATTTGTATAATTTTGTGCACACCGTCTATCAGGTTATCTTTTTCTTTTGTGATGAGGATTATTGTTTCTTCTTAACCATTGTGCTGGTTTCTCTCTCCAGAGCCGAATAATGAAGCATGCAGGAGACTTGACAGCCGCTGCTGCTCTTGCCGATGAAGCTAGATGCATGGACTTAGCAGATCGCTATATAAACAGTGAATGCGTTAAGCGTATGTTGCAAGCAGATCAGGTACACATCTCCGTTTTGTTCATATTATATTATTTTGTTCGATGTCCATCTGATGTCAGGCCTCAACACTAGTTCTCCTTTCTGTGATTTTGTTTGGGTGAAGGTGACCTTGGCTGAGAAAACTGCTGTTTTATTTACGAAAGAGGGGGATCAGCTCAACAATCTTCATGACATGCAGTGCATGTGGTATGGCTCTATAAAAGCCTGAGTAGTTTTGCTTATGTGAAATTGACATTTCAAATATCTTTCTAATGATTTTCTTTTGATCTCATTTTGTTAAAGGTATGATCTTGCATCTGGAGATAGCTACTTCCGTCAGGGTGATCTTGGACGTGCTCTGAAGAAGTTTTTGGCTGTGGAGAAGCACTATTCTGACATTTCTGAAGATCAGTTTGATTTCCACTCGTATTGCTTAAGAAAGATGACTTTGCGCTCATATGTTGACATGCTTAAGTTCCAAGACCGATTGCACTCATTCCCATATTTCCACAAAGCAGCAATAAGAGCTATCAGGTGAACTGTTTGCTGCAAATTGTAACCCAACTACTGTATGAATACATGATAGATTCCACTAAAATTTGCCTCTCGGTCTGATGTTCAGGTGCTACCTGAAATTGCATGATTCTCCCAAGTCAACTGCTGAAGAAGATGAAATGTCAAAGTTGGCTCCTGCTCAGAAGAAGAAAATCAAGAAGCAGAAAAAGGCAGAAGCCCGAGCTAAGAAAGTATGTTTTTTCATTGTTTTGTCAATATGTTTTTTTCAAGTGAATTGACACTTAGGTGACTTAACATGGTCTTCTTTGTTCCAGGAAGCAGAGAGTAAGAGTGAAGAATCAACTGCCAGCGGTGTTTCTAAGTCTGGCAAACGAAATGTGAAACCTGTAGATCCAGATCCCCATGGACAAAAGTTGATTCAGGTTTTGTTTTTGCTTCATTTGTAAGATGTATTGTGGTCTGTGCCATAATACTGAAGTATGAGTTTTAACTTTATCAGAGGGCTTACTGAAAAACGAAATCTGTACAGGTGGAAGAGCCAATGACTGAGGCTTCAAAGTACTTGAGACTACTCCAGAAGCATTCACCTAATTCATTGGAGACTCATTTGCTCTCTTTCGAGGTCAATATGAGAAAACAAAAGTTTCTGCTTGCATTCCAGGTAAATAATTTATATCCTATTCAAGCTTAGATTTGATCTATCATGTTTCTGTTATATACTTTGTCCAAGTAATTGAAGGGATTTGCTGTCTCATATTTGATTCTTTAGGCTGTCAAGCAATTGCTTAAGTTGGATGCGGAGAACCCTGATTCACATCGGTCCCTGGTATGAAATGTGTGCCACATGTGATGTTCTAAGGAAGGCTTAATCATGTAAAAAAGATAATAATGTTTTACCTTCATGTGCTTTTGAATTTGGGTGGCAGGTCAAATTCTTTCTCCAGACAGAATCGATGAGTTCTCCAACGACTGAAGCAGAGAAACTTCGTTGGAGCGTCCTAGAGGCAGAGCGCCCATCAATCAGGTGAATACTCAAAACTGTTATCCATTCTTACTGTTACTTTTTTTATATCAGCTAGGAGATAAATTGTCCATTCGTTTGCGTTCCAGTCAATTGCAGAATAAATCACTAATGGAGGCTAACAAAGAGTTTCTTGGTAGACACGAAGGTACGTATCAAACTGATTACATGTACCCTCTCGGAGATATTACAGTGTCTGATAACGTTAGCATTTCAAATTCCGCAGATTCTTTGGTGCACAGAGCTGCATACGCAGAAATGTTGTATGTTTTGGATCCAAGCAAGAAAACCGAGGCTGTCAAGATAATTGAAGACTCAACCAATAAAGCGGCTCAAACGTAATGCTTCCTCCTTCATACATATTACGTCATTGTTCCTCGCTCGCTATCTCCGTTCTCTGTTTAAATCGGTTGTCCATGTGCAGAAATGGAGCTGTAGGACCAGCAACAGAATGGAAACTCAAAGACTGTATAGCAGTTCATAAGCTCCTAGACACAGTTCTCGCTGACTCAGAAGCTGCCTCCAGTAAGCATTAATTATCTTGTTTCCATTAATCGTAAAGGTCCTTTTGTTTAGAAGTATTAAGCCTGGTTTCTTGGGTACAATTGCAGGATGGAAATCACGGTGCGCCGAGTATTTTCCCTGTTCAACTCATTTAGAAGGCAAGCTCAGCTCTGTGATGCCCGATTCAGTATACAACTCAACTCGCAAGAGCAATGAGAATGGAGACGCACCAAACCATCCAATGGGTCAGACGGAATTGAGCGATGGACAAGTCGAAGCATTCAAGAGCCTCTCCGTCTCAGCATGAAGAAGCTGTTATTTAGCAATAAGAACCAAATCAACACAGAAGAGACAGATAGTTTACAAAAGACGAGACGATCCGTTCTTGCAGAGACGTGGGATCAAACTCGAGATATAATTAATCTTTCGCAGAAGGTGTGGATCAAAAAAAATGTTTGGAGTTGTAACATGCCAAATGTGTATAATTTGTTTTCTATATAAGGCTCTGGGTTTCAAGTTTGATGAACAACAACAATGCCACAGAGATAGAAAGGGTCCTTTGTCTCTCTATTTTCCTTTTGTTTCCCTCTAGACATGTTTCGACGTTTTCTCATGTTGTACCCTTTTAACTCTTTTCCTTTTCTTCTTTCTGTTTCTTCACACTATTTATTTTTCCCATTACAACACTCTTTTTAAGCTTCTTGACCATTTCTGGAAAATTTTGATTTAATGACGCTTTCTTTTGATTGTTGTTACATCTTTTGTCGTCAAATTTGTTGTGCTTTCAACGTAACACCATTAGTTGGAAATTTATTGATATGGAAAGTTACAATTCTTGAACAAACAAAATGAATAATAAAATAACATCTCAACTATATCCCAAACCTATATACACAAACACAAACTCTATATGGATCCAAAAAGCTGGGAACACTTGTGTCACAAATCAGAGCAAAATCCAGAACAGAGCATAAAACTAATAAAATGTAAAAGGATTAACGCTTAATTAAGCTTTGCCACAAATCAGTTTTTTATTGCTCAAGGAACTTGTGTTTGTAATAATATATGAAGGGATATGCAAGTCTGTCTTTTAGCCATCCCCTGAAAATCAATCAATTAATTATCTTCTTGTTCGATCTTCAAGGTTGTGTTCCTAATCCAAGAAATCCCCGAGTGTGTCAAAGACACTAACTGAGAAAGAGACTTCATCTGGCACGTGTATCACTTAAGTCGCGTGACTTCTTCTCTTCCTCTCTAATCCGCAAAATTGAGCTAAGAGAGAGAAGGAAGATTCCTGTATTCTTGAGCTCGGATTTGAGCCGGAGATAGTGGAATTGCCGGCAAGCCTCGTCGGCCCCAGGAGAGTAGGAAACGAACTCCTGGGTGACCAATCGCGTCGTGTTCTTTCTTTTACGCAATTGCAATCTCTCTTTCTTAGTTACAAGTTTCTCACTGGATCAAGGTCGATTCAAGCTTAGAATCGCACAGATCTCTTAATTTTACCTCCGGTTGATCCTTGTTCCTCCGTGATCATCTTCTATTCTCTGATTTACCCTTTCTTCGAGCTTGGGGTAAGCTTCTAGTTAGGGATTTTATCATCGTAGCTTTTCCCGTACGTAACAGTCTAGTATAGAGGGAATAGGGTTTTGTTGCGTTGGCACCATGGGTTTGTCAAGGTTTGATCCAGAAATCGAAGGTTGTCAGAGAATATGTGATCTGCCCGACGATTTGCTATTGCGGATCTTACTCCTCCTCCCGGCAAAAGATGCAGTGGCCACTGAGATCTTGTCTAAACGATGGCGTTACGTCTGGAAGATGCTGCATAAAATCGCCTTCATAGAAAACCAAGACAGCGAGAGCTTTGGTCGGTTTATTGACAAGTCACTGCAACTCCACAAGGCACCGAAGCTAGTAAACCTGGTTGTCGAAGTGGGTCCACGATGTCCTGTTGACGTAGATGTCAGAAAGTTGGCTGACAAGGCAGTTAACAAGGGTGTGAAAACGTTAGTTTTCAAGCTCCTCTGGACAGGAGAGCCCACAAGCTTCCCTAAGAGCCTTTACACATGCGACACGCTCGTTTATTTATCTCTATCAAACCAGATTCTCGTGGATGTTTCTTTCCCGGCTAGCCTACCATCTCTCTCATATCTGGCTCTTTCCAAAGTGGTTTACAAAGACGAAGACTCTCTTGCTAGGCTTTTATCAAGCTCCCCTGTCCTCCACGAACTGGTGGTTGAACGACATAAAACTTTTGGTTGAGGACAACTTGACAAACTTTACAGTGAAAGTCCCGTCATTGAAAATATTAAGTTATTGGACTGGTTGGCGAGAGCAAGAGCAAGAGCAAGAGCAAGAGCAAGAGGAATATCACATTGGGTCGTTGGTGATAGATTGCCCTGCATTAACACGTGTAGTCATACTTGAACAATGGGGAGACTACTGTAGTGTGACAGAGAAAATGCTTTGTCTTGAGGAGGCATACATCCGGTATGTTCATAACCCAGATGAAAAGCTGCTGACATGTTTTTCTTCTGCCAGGCGTTTGGTCTTCTCTTTATCCAAATCAACGGTAGTGGTTGTTATTAAGATTTGTTGCGTTCCTTGTTCCTTGTTCCTTGCTTGGCAAACTAATCTTTTTTTTTTTAATTGCAGGTTGCTTGTTGTAAAGCCGTTAAGTTCTCTGGGCTCATAGATTTGGAATTTATAGCACAAATTGATGTGGATTGGTTGGAACCATTTATTTTGTTGCTTCACAACTCTCCTAAGCTGAAAATTCTTACGGTCGACACTGCGGTAAGTGCCCTCAACATCCCTTAGAATATGATGCACATCTAGTTTTGATGAATTTGAATATGAAAGTAAAATGTTAACGTTATGGTATAGGGATGTCCCCAATCTCCCTGGAACGAGCCGAGTACTGTTCCTGGATGCTTATCGTCTCATCTAGAGGTTGTTAAGTGGAAAGACTATGAAGGAAAAGAAGATGAGAAACAACTACTGACATACATTCTCGCTAACTCATACCATTTAAAGACTGTGGAGGTCTTACTCGTAGCAACCTGCAATCTTGAAGAGTGCCAAAAGGAGTTAGAATCTATGCCTAGGATTTCAACATCGTCTAGGCTTCTTTGTTCTACTTCATCTTGATTTCGGTTTAGATTACTCTGACAGTGGTATCTACTATATTATGTTTAGAATTTTCATCCTTTATATCTGGTTTTGCACAATTCTTCCAGTTGAACTGGTTAGTGGATTGAGCTGAGCTCCACCTGTTTCAACTTGTTGACCATTTCTGGAAATTTTTGATTCAGTGACGCTTTCTTTTAAGTGGTGGTGTTACATCTTTTTCGTTAAATTTTGTTGTGCTTTCAACGTTCTCTCAAATGCTGCTATTACGCATATCGGTATCACCATTATTGATCTGGAAAGTTGCAATTCTTGAACAAACAAAATGAATAATAAAATAACTTCTCAACTATATTCCAAGCCTATATACACAAACACAAACTCTATGGATCCAAAAAGCTGTGAACACTTGTGTCTCTTACTCTGTGTTCTCATGTGATTTGAAAGTCTCAGCTTTTTTGTCTATGAGGAAGAAGCGCTACTACTGCTTTCTCCGACCTCATTTTTACAGAGAGGGCAAGTCGCATTGATTTTCAGCCATTTGTCTACACAGTTTACATGAAACACATGTAAGCATGGCAGCTCTCTAACTTCTTCGTCGTCTCCATATTTGGCCAAGCAGATGCAACAGCTCTGCAAAACCAATAACATCCGACAAATGCACACAATTCAGAGGATAGGCCAAATAGACACACACACACACACAACTGAAACAACCTTTACTAATTCAAATGACTGAGTAACATTTCTACTTACGGCATCTTCGCCTGATATAAGACGTTTCTTCTCTGTTCCCAACAGAAGAAATCCACCTTCATCTTCCTCTGAAAATTCCAAATCGTTTCTACTTTTGGATTTGAATTTGTAGACAGGCAGAGCGTTGATGGCCTCCGGAGTGGCTCCTCTAGTTTGTGAGAAATTCTCCCGAAACCCGAGAACAGAGATTAAGCAAGGCAAACAGCAACAGATGGTTGCGCATAGTATGAATGGCATTGCGTATCCAATGCAGCTGAAGGTAAGGAACGCTATACATAACCTGCAAAGTCCCAACCAACCAAACAAACAAAACATGATGAGTGTTAAAGAGTTTCAGTTTCTCCATAAGAGTGGATGAAAGTGGAGGTCACGCACCTGTACAGTTTAGGAGAATCAGAAGGAGATGAGTGACCTCCAAATATCCAGACATTCCCCACAACAAACCACACAGCAAAGAAACAATCAATCGCCATCTTGAAGTGGTCCACCATCCCACTGAGCCTGCAAAGTCATAACCAAACTATCAATTTCACTATCTTACCTAACCAAACCAAGTTAACTTGTATCCATTACCTTGTTCTTAAGCTATCCCCAACTTGATTGGTTCTAGGTGCTGCTCTCAGGTCGGTGCCATTTTCTTCGTCTGGCGCTTGAACCACTGAGACGGCTGTGTAAGGTGTGGATTCTGAAGGGTTATTATTATTGGACTGAGAAGAGCTGCCACGTTCTTGCACCGAACTTTGGTTGTAAGTGCGAAAACGCCAGTAGAGAATAGGGAGAGTGGCTATACAGCCAGAGGTGTATCCAACAACCCAAGTAAACAGTGGCGCTTCTGGATGTTCATCTTTAGCCAGAACCATGACTACTATGGCTGCCACAATCTGAGCCACAGTGACAACTAACTCAACTGAAATCCAAAGTCCAGAATTCAATGGACTCCTTCTAGTACTAGCACTACTACGGCGACCATTCCCTGTAGAATTTGCTCTTTGCTGAGGAGTTGAAGGAGATGGATGCGTAATGTTGCCGTTTGATGTTATTCTCTCTTCGCCTTGATGTGAGTTAACCTCAGGAGTCAGCTCATCGATAGAAGATCTTGATGAAGACGAGTCATCGTCATTGCTTGTTGTGATGTCAACGATGTGTTGAGGATTATTGTGAGATTCTTGCTCCATTAACAAAGGGTCTTGATCAGTTTGGCTTATAGTTCGTCCAATGGAAGAAACGTCCATCTAATATCCAAGTAGAAAATCTGAAAAGCACAGATCAGCAACTAGACCTTCCCAGTTCTCAGCATCCGTCTAATCATTTGGGTATATCAAAGCTAGAAACACTTGAGCTCAATCTCTCCAAGAACAAATGTTAAACATACACCTGTTAAAGCACAATGAGGAAAGCAATTAGCTTTATAATGAAAAATTCAGAAGGGAGATGGGATTAGAGACTAGAAAGCTCAGATCAAAATCCACAGTCAGGAGTAGGAAACATCGAATTGCCCAACTTTCTGAGAGAAAACAAAAAAAATCCCAGTTCAAGTAAGACCCAACATTCAATTTTGACTCTTTCAAATCCATCAAACTCTATCTTGATGAAAAACCCCCAAAAACGAAGACTCAAACAAATTCAATCGAGAGAAACAGAAGATAAGAGGTCTCCAAACACAAATTCGGGATTCCCCAAATGAATTGCGACACAGGATCCAAGGAAACCAAATATACGAACAAGAGTAGATGCAATGGTGAAGCCTTTATTTACCAGAAATGAAAAATCTTGGCAGAGTCGAATCCAGAAAAGCTGCGAGTAAGCTGTTGTTATCTTACTTGAACTGTTCCTCTTTTTCATTTCTTGAGAAAGACAAAAAAGAGAATCCGCTGATTTTTTCAGCTTTTGCAGTAATTCGGGAAAGAGAGTGATGATTAGTTTTTACACTTTTACTTAAACTCACTAGGAAGATTTTGTTATCAGCCGTTGGATCTTAAGGGTTCTGTCTGATCGGACGGTCATGTCTAACTCCTTGTCTGTGGCTCTTGGAAATTTGGAAGGTGCGTTGTAGAGTTAATATCAGAGGTATAGCCAAAAATTAAATGCTCCCAGAACCAAAATATTGTTTAGTTTGGGCTTAATGGGCTAAAAACATATTTTTTTGTCCACATGGGTTTTAACTAGTCTCGTAATTCTAGTTGTTAAATAGTTAGTAGAAAATTTTCAAATTGATCGAAATCATTTAACGCTCAATTACATCTAAAATGTTATAGGAGCTGGAGTTATTAAGGAAGTTTACGATAACAACTAGTCCGTAAACGATGACCACGAGTTATTTATGTTTTGAATAATGACAAAACTAAAAAGTCACTGTTAAAACAAAAACAAAATAATGATGAAATTACAGAGATCTTGTCATTGTAGACTGTTTACATTCCATGCGCGTTATAACGACTGAAAACAACAACTTTAAAAGAATGGCTGGCCGGAGTTAGCGGTCACGGATTCGCAATCGAAACCGGTAAGTTCGTCACGTGTCTACTCAGTAGGGCTACTGTTTCTATTTGGATGTCTTAATAACGCCTAATTGGTCTAACTCTGAGATTAATGACACGAATCGTTTATGTTTCCCAGTAAAGAAACAGAATCACGTGACTTATGCGCGGCCCTACTGCACTGAATACTGAATACTGTTTACTATGTCGAAACGTTTTTGTTTCCTTTCTTATGATTCGTGTTTTTGGGTTAATAACTGTTTTAGAAAGGTGAACTAGTTAAAGTCAATTATCAAATGTTTGTTTTCTAATCATTAGCCATAGTTTAACTCGATATTAAATGGCAGTTAACGACTTTGGTCACATCCATTATACAATGTTATTTTGGATTTTTTCTTGTTTTTGATGTATTTCAGCATCAGTATGATTTATTTTATAAAAGATCTCTCTCGGAAAATAATTCAAAGAAGTAAAGTGACAAGAAAGTGATAGACAAAAGGAACACTATTGAAGATCTCTCTCGGAGGATATATGGAACTAAAATTGACAACCACAAACTAATTAAGATCTTGTTTTATATATATAGATTCTTTTTGTTTCCGTAGTTATATTTTTCAACATTCATAAGCCATCGATCTTTCGTAACTAAAAGCAAATACAAAAGTTCGCTAAAGGGTAACGTTTTTCTTACAATAGGAATATTTTCAACTTTAGTATTGTTTTCATCATTTTCTCTGTCTTAGTCGAAACCCATGACCATGAGGTGGAGTTGAGCCTTCGAACAAAATGAGCTATGCACCAGATCAGACTAATAATATTGCTGTCTAGTATCGGAAACTAATGACACTAGTCTAGATTCTAAATCCCCTTAAATATTTGGTTAGAAAACGGTAGATGGAGCCATGCAGGAGCAGGACCCACGCCACAGGAAGCACAAGGTAATTAATCACACCATTGAACTATTCGCTTGCTTTCGTGGAGATATCAAAACCACCAGTTACAGGACATGTGGTCATTATAGGTACCGTTCACTAGGCTTCTAGCGTAGGAATATCCGTATAAATACAAAGTTGGAAACCCTCACATGCACACTCAAGCCAAAAGTTAGTGCCATTTTGCCTATCATCACTTTCCGCACTTTTATTGTAAACTTATAACTTATATACATACACATTAATTAAGATACTGAGAGATAATGTCACCGGAGGAATACGTTAGGGAATCCGGCGATCTTGGAGGAACTGAGCTGACCCTAGCTTTGCCCGGGACTCCCACAAAGGCATCGGACGGTCAACAAAAGTCCGGCAACAAACGTGGATTCATCGAGACCGTTGATTTGAAACTCGGGGAAGGACACGTGAACAATTACATCTCATGCAACACTTAGTACGGCATATTCAATTTTCATTGTTACAAACACTTCTATGATATATGCATGTGTTTCACTGATCACATATACACATGCGTTTTTGTTCTGGTTTTTAATTAGTGGCGGATTGGTGGGATGGCCGCCGGTGAAGACAGCGAGGAGGAAATACGTGAAAGTGGCGGTTGATGGTGCGGCTTATCTCAGAAAAGTCGATCTTGGGATGTACGATTGCTACGGACAACTTTTCACGGCTCTAGAAAACATGTTTCAGGGGGTAATAACAATATGTAAGTGATACAGAATAAAAAATGTCATTTGTATGTTTTAGATGGACTGTTTAGTGTATGTACTATAGGAAGTTTTAGCCTATTCTGATACATTTACTTGGCGTGCGTAGGTAAGGTGACGACGGAGGTGGAGAGGAGCGGCGAGTTTTATGCAACTTACGAGGATAAGGATGGTGACTGGATGTTAGTCGGAGATGTGCCGTGGCTGTGAGTTGTATAGATATAACTAAATTAATAATTCGTACTCTTCCCGCGCGCTATTGATAAAACTCAAAAACAACAAAAAAAGAAGTTGTTATTTGTTTATGAGAGTGACTGATTTGACTTGGGGTTGATGAATTTATGCAGGATGTTTGTGGAATCGTGCAAACGTATGCGGTTGATGAAAATCGCGGATGCTATTGGATTAGGTGCATGCATAATATAGATACTTTCTTCACGTGTAAAAGACTCTTTATATAGTTTTTGGTGGCTTGATGCTCAAAGTGAAGTGTCTACTTTGAAGAGCGTAAACGCATCGGATCTTCTCAAGTCTATAACATTATGGTCACAAATGCATATACATTGTCTGGGTCTACATAATGTATATTTCCTGACATTTTGAATAGCAATATGCTAAATGCCTAAATATATCAAACCTTTTTTGGCCGTCGATTTTGTATGTAGTTTATACTACTGTTTTTTAACGACAAGAAATAAATAGCTTTTAAAGTTTATACAACTGTTGAATTCTAGTGCCGACAAGAACACCAGAACATGATGACATGGACAAGACGGACACGACTTTCCTGCTTCACTAAATCTCACACAAAATACAACCACAAAAATTTAACAGAGAAAATATATTTCAAGAAAAAATATTAACATGTCAAAGATAAAAGGAATAAGAATGTGTGATGTAGTGTTACTCTTGTTTTTACATACAAAAGATAAAATACATTCATTAGTTTGCGAGTATGGGGTTCCTTTCTTCATCGATATCTATGGCAAGAACACGGTCTGGGTCCGAGCCACTCGGTCCTTCCGAGTAAAGGGTTGGTAGATAAGCCTTATACGCAGGCAAATACCGCGACACAAAGTCATTCACCTAAACACACATATTCCAAAACATTCAAAACAAGATTCATCGTCCCTTTCTATAGTAACCACAAGACTAGTAGTAAGTACTAACTCTAATACATTTACTTAAAAACGGTATCAGTACCTCATCATCGGACATCCCAGCTTTGCCAGCCTGCCTCATGGCGATTTCCGCCTGTCCAAAACGAAAAATAAAAGACTCGTGTTTGTATAGAAACACAGAGAAAATCGTTGGTTTGTTGAAATAGATAGATATACAAACCTGAAGACGCCACCGGTACACATAACTTGGGTCCTTGATTTTGATGACAACCCAAGCATTGATGTACTTGTCCCATGCCTCGTAATACGCTTCAAGGTTCTTATTCACTATCTCCAGCTGCAGCAAAAGGAACAGAGTTTTTCATGTTTATCGGTTGTTTTACTAATTTACTACTTAATGGCTTAAAGGGAGTTTGAAATAACCTGCGGATCCACAGCTTTAACAGCTTCAGCTGGAAGAGGTTTAAAACCAAGCATCCATCCTTCAAAGAGAATCACCTGAAGAAATCATCCAAACATATTTACTAGTGTCTTTGTTTCATCTTAACTTTGAACGAAACAGTTAAAAGATAAGAAATACCTTTAGAGGTCCTTCAACTTCAGGCCATGTCGTTGCATCGGCTCTGTCACCTCTCCCGCTATAGGCAGACTGCAGTCAAATATGAATATTACAATCAAGCTGTGAAACAAAGTAATAAGGCAGAGAAGGTAACGCCAAGCTGTAACTTACCTTATTGTACCGGGGAACTTTCATCTTCATCCCTGTCAATGACCAATAAAACTCACAAGGTCAATAAGAAAATAAACAGCCAAGGATAAAACTTTGGTGATGAAACTAACCGTCCTTGCTTAGCTTAGTCAGGGCTTCAAGTGTTTCGACAGAGAATGGAAGATCATGGCTTCCTGCATTCCCACGCAACTGAAAACAACAATGACGATATTTTCAAAACTGACAAAAAGAAGAAAAGGTTGAGACTTTGAACATGAGTGTTACCTCTAGAAGTGCATTTCCTGGATTCGCTTCTCTCAATTTAGCCTGACCAACAAAAAAAGCAATAAACAATGGAGAAGAGAACGTCCAGACAAGAGAGGCTACAAGTAAAATCTTACCTGTCCTTCCGCAGTCAAGTAAAAATCGTCTATGGATACTGTCGCCGACTTCCTGAGACATTGCTTTGTTAGTATAAAGAATCATTAAGACTCACTCACGTGAAGTAAATTGCAGTAGAGCAATGTACCTTTTTGTAGTTCTGAAAAGATATTCAAGTGCAAACACAAGTGTAGTCTTGCCACATCCCTGAGGCGCGCTAAATCCAATCTGCAGTTTCCAAACACATGAATTCAGATCTCTTGATCCACACATCATCTCCATCATTAATTTGAGATTATTATCAAAATTCTGAGATCACCACTAATGGAGGTACTTCATCTCCATCTTTAAACTTGGAATTATGAAGAGCAATCTGATCTTCACACCAAACAAAGACAGGTATATAGTAATGGTATAGCCTAGCTTTCTGAGGAATTGTGAGCTTAAGCTCGTTAAGCTGAAACAGTCTGCAGAGTTGTGAGCCATAGAGTAACCACTTGTCAATGGACTCTCCAACTCTTTCAGGAGTGATGCCAATCTTCTCTACGAGTGGACCCGAGCAAATGAATTCGAAAAGGTCCGACACTGAAGACACATCCACCGATTTTGTTGGTAACGCATAGCATTTCTTTGACGTCATATTACTTGTAGCTGAATCATGAGCCACTGAATTGTCCTGAATCCACGAGCATCCACACCCTATTCACATAGTTCACATTCATTCAATAACAAACTCATCATCGTTTCCACAACAATCTTAAAAACCTCAAGTTGCAGACTTTCTATTTGAAACAATCCAACCCTTAACAAAAGTTTAGCAATTTTCAATGATCTGATGCTAAATTTTGCTTGTAACCAAACAATTCATAAAATTTCATTAAAATAAGAGCAAAGGTGAAAATTTGGGAATAAAAAGGAAAACTTGATGAGAAGGGTGTGATTACCAGAGAAAGAGAAATGGGAATGGATCGGAGAAAGCTTGGAGGACTTGGAGGAGGAGGAAGAATCGGTGAGGACATGGTCGTTAAATTTGGAGGAAAGAATGCGTCTTTTGAAATTAAAAGGATTGGAAATGGGATTAGAGTGACACGGAAAGGGATAATCTTTGAGATAAAAGCTATTATTGTAATGCTGAAGAGTCGCTTGCCATGGCGATATCAAACTTGAAGTTGCCACCGCCATTCTTTTTTTTTTTTGCTCTCTCTCTCTAATCTGAAAGCAGAGTCAGCAGCAATGTAGGAGAAAGCAATTTGATGATATTTTATCATTTTCTTAAAAATAAATAAAAAAGGGACAATCTTGCCACATAATATGTGAGTCATATTCATCCGTAGGATAATGTGTAATTAATGCATTTGTCCCTCCTGTCAAACACTGTTTATTTTTTATTTTATGTGTTCTTATCTTCGTTAATCAGTCCTCTAATGGAAGATTAGAACAAATCAGCTTTGGAAAGTCTACACTAAACCGGAATAATCCGGTTTTATTTGATGTTCAAATCAGATGTCATGATTGCTTGGTCCATGTTTCAATTGTTTTTGAACCCCTAACTTTCCCTCCATTCCTCTATCCATCTAATTATAACCATAAAAATAAACCAAACACAACTTTCATGCAATATATAGTGTCCAATTTGCTCCTTTTGTAACAATGTGATCTGTGTAGGATTATATAGCTGTGCTTGTGTTTGTGTATGTATGATCCAATGTACATCAGACACACTCATTCAGACAATTGGATGGAAGTGAACTGAAAGGCAAATAACGGTGCAGTTATAAAATAAATAGAAATATCAAGGGTCTTTGTGTAAATTTAGGGAAATGAACACAAGTCTTCGGGTTGATCAAAAAGCATGTAGAAGAGGAACCGAATCACTCGAAGAAAAAAGGAAGAAGAAGGAATCAAAAGGTTTCGCGAAAGTTTTGTACTTTTGCCTTTTGGGATTTGATATCAGAATCCGCTTTTACGCTGCTTGATTTTTCGTTTGGGCAAGTCTGGAAAAAAAAAAGAAGAAGCGAAAACAGCTAAATTGGATCGAGATTCGAGAGTAGAAGAAGAAAGGCGTTACTCTTTTTTGAATTATAATAAGGTTAATTTGATACCTTTTTTGTTTTGTTTTGGATTGGATTGGAGTAAACAAAGAAGAAACTATATTTATATATTATCTATTCGGCCTGCAAAAGAGCACACATGAAAGTAAAATCAAGGGGGTTGGTGAAGAAGACGACGAAGTAAAGGCGTGACAAACGCTCACACCTCTTTAAGGTTTCCGTCAACGACTCCGCGGTTTCTAATTGCATTAGGTGGATCAGAGTTTTCTCTCAACTTTTTTTACATATATATTTATTAGTATCAAACGATTCTGGACCATCATTGCAAAATCTCTGAAAACTGTCTCCCTTGTTGATCAGGTGTGTGGATCGAAATGGGTTCGTTTGAGAAGCTTTCGAGGAGAGCCTTGGGCACTGATACGCCTGTTATGACTGAGGTCAACCTCGTACTCCTCCATTCCTCGAATTGATTTGATTTTCTTCATGTGCTGTTGTGACGAAAATTGTTGATTTGCGTGCAGATTCGGAAACTAATGGCTGAATTGACGAACCCCATGTCTCTCGCTCAGGTTTGCCTTCTAGAAATGTGTGTTTGGTTTGATAATTCTATTTGGGTCTGCGTGTTTTCCTCACTAAACAAAAACAAAAAAAATAAGACTTTGGATTTCGTGAGTGTTGGATCTAATTCTAATTCAACTTGATTTGCATGGGAGGATGTACATTTGTTTAATCTGAAGATTTGCTTCATCCAAACACAGACATAATCAAAATGCTTCATGTTCATGTGATTGCAGGGAGTGGTGCATTGGCAGCCTCCTCAAAATGCCTTGGAAAAGGTCAAGGAGCTTGTTTGGGATCCCACCATTAGTTCTTATGGACCTGATGAAGGCATTCCAGAGTTAAGACAGGCTCTTCTGAAAAAGGTAACCTTTCTTGAATCCAATCAAGTCAATCTCTTTGCTGCTTAAGCTGATACACTGTGTTTGTTCTGAAGCTGCGGGAAGAAAACAAGCTTACCAAATCGGCAGTGATGGTTACTGCAGGTGCCAATCAGGTAAAAAACCGGTCTTTGTTTACTCATTTCGTTGCAAAGCTCTTTCTTTTTGTTTCCTTGTAGACTTACTATACACTGTTTTTGTATAAAATGCAGGCGTTTGTGAATCTTGTTCTTACGCTATGCGATGCGGGTGACTCGGTTGTCATGTTTGAGCCTTACTACTTCAACGCCTACATGGCCTTTCAGATGACAGGAGTCACCAACATACTTGTTGGTCCTGGCCATCCAGAGACTCTCTATCCCGACGCAGGTACCTCTTGTACTAGATTTGCATCACTTGAACAGCTTTAAGTTGTGACTTGTGTGAGTGTCTTTTTTCTTTTTATCAGACTGGTTAGAGAGGACACTCTCTGAGACTAAACCGACCCCAAAAGTTGTGACTGTTGTGAATCCTGGTAACCCAAGTGGCACCTATGTCCCTGAACCGCTTCTTAAGAGGATCTCAGAGATATGCAGAGATGCTGGGTGTTGGCTTATTGTAGATAACACATACGAGTGAGTTTCTCTTTTGCTTATTACGTCCCATGATGCCCCAATGTTTTTGAATGTTGTATGAAAGGGGATTGAAAATGGCAGGTACTTCATGTATGACGGTTTAAAACATAGTTGCGTTGAGGGAGACCACATTGTTAACGTCTTTTCCTTCTCTAAAACCTATGGCATGATGGGTTGGAGGCTTGGATATGTGAGTGTTTGCTTGCTTTATCCAGTTCTATTCCAAGCTGTTGGTTTTTGGATCATCCTATATCTTATGAAACGTTTGGTTGGTGGAGCCTGTAGATAGCTTACTCAGAGAGATTAGAAGGGTTTGCAAGCGAGCTTGTGAAGATTCAAGACAACATCCCAATCTGTGCCTCCATAATCTCTCAGCGCCTGGCTATATACGCACTAGAGGAAGGTGCTGGGTGGGTGACGGAACGTGTAAAGGGTCTGGTGAAGAACAGGGAGATTGTTAGAGAAGCGCTTGAGCCGCTCGGGAAGGAGAACGTTAAGGGAGGAGAAGGAGCGATTTACATGTGGGTAAAGCTGCCGGATGAATTCAGAGATGAGTTCAAGGTGGTGCGATGGCTGGCTCACCGCCATGGTGTGGTGGTGATCCCGGGGAGGGCAAGTGGTAGTCCAGGGCACCTCCGGATTTCGTTTGGAGGGTTGCAGGAGGATGAAATGAGAGCCGCCGCGGAGAGGCTGAGGAAAGGATTGGAGGAGCTCCTTCACAGTGGAATGGTGGAGTGACATTGCTGTCAAAAGATTGTTACTTTTTGCGTTTTTACTGCAAGTTATAGTTTCTTAAAGAAATTACTATAACAATGGATTGTTGTTTATTCAATAGTTGGGAAATTGATGTTGTATCAGATCCCCTTTGGTGTATATACATTATACACTCTTTTACTTATTCAAATGATTTTCACATCAATAAACGCAACACTACCCTTTTGATTTGTATCATACGTTTTAAAAGCAAACTAGAGTTTGACCCGCGCCCAGCACGGGGAGATGGTTTCTGAATTTGTATTTTTTAATTAAAAATGTATATTTAACTATTTCAAAATTTTATGTGACAGATTTTTTTACCTTGTTAAGGTTTTTATCTTCGTTTATAATGTGGAAATTAAACATTTTAAAAATTATAAACAAATTAAAACATTGATCATTAAATATGCTAGACTATAGATTAAATATGCTAGACTTCAGCAAAATACATAAAACAAATAAATCAAATGAGTATATTTTATAAGATAAGAAGATAAGAAGTTTTAGGTGTTTACACGGATTAGAACTAACTTTTTTTATTTCTTTTAAAACTAAAACATGTTTTATTATAATTCCAAAACAATCCAACCAATAAAAAAATCTTGCAAAATCCAAATTGTCAAAATAACAAAAGATAATTTTGTACTGAAAAATTGAAACAAATGGAGCAATATTCAAATTTTTGATCAAAATTAAATACATTTATAAAAAATATTATTTTATTTGATTTCATTATACAGTTTAACTAAAAAATCATATAAAATATTTTAAAAAATTACATTTAGATACCTACTCTCCTACTTACATGGTTGCATATCATCTATTTTTTATAATATATTTTTACACCTACACACAACAACATATTGGGAATTTTAATAGTTTTAGTGATTATTTTGTTTTTAAAAATTCAAATCATAGCATATATAGAAAAAGTTTTAGATTTTATTTATTAGATTTTTTGTATTGTGTCAATTTTTTATTTTATAAAATAAAGTTAAACAAAGATGAAAGGAGATATAGAATGATTTAAAAAAAATATAATGATAGCATTAAATTGAATCTCATATTTTCCTTATTTACTAATTTTCGTAATTGAAAGAGAATGATGATTCTTTTATTAATAATTTCATATATGATTAATCTAACTATACATATTTGATTCTCTAACCAAAAATATGAATGACAATGTTTGTAATTAGTCTAGTAAACTAATCCTTATTTTATAAATAACATGAGAAGCTCCTAATGATGACACATCAGCATGGCATTCTTGTTAATAACACATCAACTAAAGGTTATTTTTAAAGTGTTTTCTCTTTTAATATATTAGGGATTTCAGATTATAGCTTTTCTTTAGAATTCAAAAGAAAATCCGAGTTTGAACTTTGAGATGAGAACTTTGTATAGTCGTTAGAACATACGCATTAGAGAGCTGGGAAATGAGCTCTATAATAATAATAAAAAACAGATTTCAGTAAAAGCAAAAAATAAAGAGAAAAAGAAAACAGATTTAACTAATCATGGAGTGACACATGTAGAGTTTTGTTGAGAGGCATTTCTTTAAACTCTACTAGGAGAGTCGGATCTGTTTTTCTTGAGTGATACATCATTTCCTTTTAATTATTTTCTTTATTTTTGAGAGCAGAACCTCTTATAGTCTCTTAAATGCGGATGCCCTTAGAACTCATTAGAAGAAGAAAAGGTAGACGTTAATGACAAATTTTTAGGAATCAAACCTTTAATTTGAACGAGGAGAATAAAGTAAAAAGTTAATTGATTTCTTCGCTTTACTTGGATTTAAAGTGGGCCGCATATGGGCCCGGATCTGAAATTTTGAATTGAACCCGACTAAAGCCTGGATCATAACTACTACCATTGACGTGGCTTCCATTTTCTCAACTTTGTCTTCCATCGTTCCAACTTCGCCGACGACGAGTCACATCTCGGAAATCTGAGAGAGAGAGAGAGAGAGAGAGTGTGTGTGAGAAAGAAGGCAAATTTGGGGACCCGAAGATCGAAGCTGCTGCTTCGGAACCCTTGATTTTGCACTGAAATAGGCTAATTTTGTAGTAAAGGAGGTGAGAGGAAGGAATGGTGGGTACTAGCAATTCGTTGGCGGGTCTACAAGATCACTTGAAATTAGCGAGAGAATACGCACTAGAAGGATCCTACGACACTTCTGTCATCTTCTTCGATGGTGCCATTGCTCAGATCAACAAGTAAGTAGCTCCTTTTCTCTTTACTCTTGAATCTAGTTTTTTTTTCTATCATTTCCTTTACAGTTTCGTCTGGCCCTAGCTACCTCGATTTTATTGCATTGTTGGATTAGCTCGCATCATTTCCCTAATGAATTAAGCTATAATTTTGCAATGTCTTTCGTTCTCTGTGGTTATATACCTAGAAACTCGACTAGTCAATGAAGCAGTTTATATCTTTATCGGTGATTCTGAAGTAAACCTTTTTTCAGGCATTTAAACACACTTGATGATCCTATGACGCGGACGAAATGGATGAACGTTAAAAAGGCCGTAATGGAAGAGACTGAAGTTGTGAAGCAATTAGATGCAGAGAGGAGAGCATTTAAAGAAGCTCCCACTGGTCGTCGTGCTGCTTCTCCGCCTATCAATACCAAATCATCTTTCGTTTTCCAGCCTTTGGATGAGTATCCAACATCATCCGGTGGTGGTGGTGGTCCGATGGATGATCCTGATGTGTGGAGGCCTCCTACTCGTGATGTTTCTAGTCGAAGACCCGCGAGGGCTGGTCAAAGTGGTATGAGAAAGTCACCTCAAGATGGGGCTTGGGCTCGTGGCCCAACAACACGGACGTCTCCAGCTACTCGAGGTGGAAGAGGTGGTGCTGCTGGTAAGTCTACTGCAGCTGCTCGCTCTACAACTGCCGGAAAGAAAGGAGCTTCCTCAAAATCTACCAAGGCAGATTCTACGGTAAGCTGCAAATAGTGAGGTTTACTTTCCATTTCATTTAGTCTGCTCGTTACAAAGCTCATGAATTTTGTTACTTTATGAATGTCTAATTTTGTTGCTTTATGAGTGCCTAATGCTGGTTTCCATATTTAGAGACTTTAGATTGCTTTTTTTGATTCGGTAGTTTCCACATACTACTGCTAACATTTGATAAAGCTTGTGGCAATCTTGTTGATAACAGAATGGCGATGGGGAAGATGGGAAGGTAAAAAGAGGATTGTATGAGGGACCTGATGAGGACCTGGCAGCTATGCTTGAAAGGGATGTGTTGGACTCAACTCCAGGTGTCCGTTGGGATGATGTTGCAGGTTTGGCCGAAGCCAAAAGGCTGCTTGAAGAGGCTGTTGTCCTTCCTTTATGGATGCCTGAATACTTTCAGGTACTTTGGTTTTTTGTTTCTTATGCTGTGAAATATGGATTTATATGTTACTATATTTAGACTCTGGAGCAACCATATAAGAAAGAGAATGAAAGTACCAATTTAGCTATTTTGTAATTTATAATATTTCTCTTCCGGTTACAGAGGATTCTTAGTTTGATTGGTTTTTGTTTCCCTCCCTTCAGGGTATTCGAAGGCCGTGGAAAGGAGTTCTCATGTTTGGTCCACCTGGGACAGGTAAAACTCTGTTGGCGAAAGCGGTTGCAACAGAGTGTGGTACCACTTTCTTCAACGTCTCTTCTGCTACATTAGCTTCAAA